TACACCAGCCACTGGCGCGGGCCAACCGAGATCTTTGCGAGTTTGACTCCGTTGTCCTCCTCCACCCAGGCTAGAGCCTCGAAGTACTTCCTAGACGAAGAGCCACCATCAGCACCATAGACAACGGCATGTGAAATGTTGAGACAGATGATAGTCGTGCCGGTAGAAGGCGGCAATCTTGTCGGCCGTGCCCTCTTTGCACAGCTCTTCCAGGTAGACGATACCGAGATTGCCCTTGACTGCAATTTCGGGGGTGGCCTCGTATATCCTAAGAGTATTGATTGCGCCTCAGCCCAAGCTCAAGCTTGCCACACGCCGCCACACCGAAGAGTAGAGTCAAACCTAAATTGGTTGCCGTAGGGGCCAGTCACTGCGAGGTAACCCTCTTTAGAGGCATCGAACCCTCGAATGTAGTGGCGGGCATCTGCAACATACGTATGAATGGTGAGTCTTTCTCACAGGTTCCTCCCTATGCATCTGGCACGGCGTACCAGCATCACCGGCCGCGTGTACAGACCAGCTGAACTTGGTGCCCTGCAACCCATCCACCACCTGTGGAATGGGAGATCGTGAATGAGTTTGTACTGGCGCAGCTCAAGCTCTTCTTGTCAGTACCTTGGGCTGGACAAGTCGTTTCTTCAAGTCATCAAGGCTTGGCACAACCAAACCGATGTGACCTCGCACGACCTGCGGTTCCCTACAATGACCCACAGTTCAGCACTTGTTGACGAAGTGAGCGGAGAGGGAGAGGAAGGGGGTGTGCACCCTGGCGAGAGGTGGATCTGTTGGTAGCCAATGTTGCACCACATGGTGCTGGCTCCAACGTTGAAGAAAGGGTCGCGTGTGAAACCCAAGCCTTCGAAGTAGAACACGCTCGCTTTGGGCTGTTCGGTAGATTAGTATCTCAGACTTGATCCTTGAGTTGCGGCTTGGCTGGTTGGAAAATGGACGAACCTGTTCTGGAATGCACAGATTGATGTGCTCGAGATGCACAATACCACCGAGATCATCCTGCAGCTCCTCCATGCTCATCGCGGCTTCTCCTTTGTCGTGCTCCACGCTGCCTTTCGTACTATTTATCATCATCAATATTCGTTTTTATTTGACATTTCTTTTATTTATTTCTTTTCTTTTTGTATCGCTTCCCTCTTTATTGGCGTTGTAATCTGTCGCCGCGAACATGCGTAGGATCGTCTACTCGGCCAGTGCCGCGACGAGGGCAGGGTCGCCCTTCCATGGCTCTGCCCTCTGCCGCTTGAATTCTACTCCCACCGATCGCTCTCCACCTCCCTCGTCCTACAGGCGGCCAAAGCGGGGTACCCCCTCCCCGCGGGCTGCATTCACAGTTGATTGTGATCGTTGATTTTCTCTGCAAATGCACCCTAGCTCAGCTGTAGAGGCCACAAAGGAAACGAAAGTGGTACCGATCTCCTCCTCAACTTATTCGTTGTTAGCTTTGTGGTGCTGATGGCCAGACTTGCCTGTACAGAAAAAGGCCAAACAAGAGAAGACCAATGCCGAGAGCACGCTGGTGACGAAGCAGAAGGAGAAGAAGGAGAAGGTGGCAAAGGCGAAGGAGACCAAGCCCAAGAAGGCGAAAAAGGAGACGAACGCCGCTGTCAGCGCGATTGAACAGGCCGCCACGGGAGAAGAGGTGGCTCGATTCTTGCACGGTGTTGAACGCGAGGGACACGTCTCTGCTGCGCTCGCTCATGGTACGACTCTAGCCACGTTTGGGCATGGAAGGAGGGTGATGTGGTCCTCACTCCACCTTTTGTTATTCTTTTTCATCAGCGGGAATGCCCCAAGAAGACCAGATGCAACTCAAGGGCTTCGTGGACGCGCTGGAGAAGATCGGCAAGACTCGGCCGGCGGACAAGCCGTGGGGCGTCTTCAAGATCGTACGCCACGCCACCCCCGTCACTGGCTTGTGGTGAGTGACGCCTTACTTACAATTGTGTCCCTCTGCCGCTCCTATGTAGCAAGATGATGGCCAGGTAGAGCCGCTAGGTCTATTCCGCACGGAGCAGGAAGCAAACGTGGCGTTTGGTGACGACCAAGGTAGATCCCGCATCTCCTCGCACTGGCCGATGCTAACGCCACTCACTCACTCGTTCTCCTCCAAACTAGAACCAGCAACGAAGCCAAAGAAGGAGAAGAAGGAGAAGAGCGCTGATGGTGAGAACCAGAAGTCGAGGAAGGAGAAGCGAGACGAAAAGAAGGCCAAGGAAAAGGTCAAGAAGGAGGAGAAGGCCAAGAAGGCCGAGGACAAGAAGCTGGCCAAGGTGGCGGCAAAGGAGACCAAGGCGGACAAACCCAAGTCAACCAAGAAGGGTTCCAAGAAGGCCGAGACCGCAAGCGGAAAGGAAGAAGAGCTGAAGTAAGCAGGTGTAATGCGCCAGTGGAGGAAAACAAAAACAAAGATTTTCTCTTCTTTTCCCGTTGTGTGAAGCTTCTTCTCTGCGCCAAACAACATAGCGAAGATGGAGCTGTCCACGGAGAGCAACAGGGTGGAGGTCAACAGCGGGCTTGTTGATGCAGCCGAAATAATTGGTGAGGAGTGGGACGAAAGTGACGAGAATGACGAGGACGAAGGCGAACGACGCGTATGAACTGACCGAGAGCAAGGACAACACCCTGGTGGACATGTGCGTGAAGGTGCTTGGGCGGCACCTCGGCGATGTCGAGTGGTTCATCAGGTTTGCTACGTCCCTCGCACGCGACTCCTCTTTTCCTGGCGCTAACTTCTACTACAGTGCGCCGTTGCCAGCAGAGTTAGCGATGAGGATCCACAGCATCCACAAGAACGCTCAGTTGGCGAACGAGATCAAGAGCGCAAGCCTCGCGAAGCGGGCGACCAAGAACGAGGCGTACCAGAGCACCACCCCAACCCCAAGCGTTTGGTGAAACACGTGCCACGCTCCAGCGAAGAGTTATTGTATGTGTGCAGGCTACCACCCAAACAGGAGAGAGAAGAAGAAGGAGAAGAAACCGATGATGAGCATACCGAGCAGTCCTCCAACCACAAGCCCAGCCAACGCTGCAATTCCAATCTGCACGAAGAGGAAGAAGAAGGAGAAGAGCGGTGAGATCGACCGATGTAGACATGGAGTAGAAGTGGAGGGTGAGGTACAGTTGTCTTTGTCATGCTGTTGTTGCTGTTGGGCAATCGCGTAGCGCCCAAGAAGATGAAAAACGCAGCAAGGAAGAGGCTACTCGTCGACCCGATCGCTAGGTTTAGGAACGCCAGCAGGAAGCCGAACTGGCACGACACCGAGATGAGCACGCATGAGTCATTGTACAAGCCGAAGAGATCACCAAAACGACGAGCATGAAGTGGTACCGCGCATCCCACGCCCAGCGGCAGGATGAGCTCCGTCCCAATCTCCAGGCTGTTGCCCACGCTCGGCTGCGGCACAGTGTACGTTAGAGTGCGGATGAGTTGTGTGTGGTGAGCGTTCAACACGTGCAACAGGCACGGGCTGCATCCCCGTACCTGGAGTGTGCGGCCGTAGCGCTCGTAAAGGCTTCGCGTCTGTGGGTCGTTCAGCACGGTGTAGGCTGCACAACGTGGCAATGGGAAGTCTAAATCAATGTTGCAAAGGGAGAAGAAAGAAAACACAGAAGACGTGAAGGGTAAGGGTACCTGTGTGGATGGCGTTCCACTTCTCCTCGGAGCCTCCTTTGTCCGGATGCGCTTTGAGCGAGATCCGGCGGTAGGCCTTCGTGAGTTCATCGCTCGTCGTCGTCCGGCTCACTCCCAACAACGCATAGTAGTCGCTCATCTTCGAGCGGTGAATGTTGTAATTGAAAGTTGTATTTTATGATATTTGAACTGCTCGTGCTGTTGGTGAGACGTGCTCTTCCTTCCGTGCGCCCAGAGGACCAAAAGAACGCATAAAGAACCAACCATTGAAACTCCTCATATAAAAATAAATCTAAAACAAAACAAAACAAATAAATAAATAAATAAAAGAGTGAGTTGGTGCGGCGAATGCTGTCTGTTCACAGCGGCGTTCTTGCTGGAGGCCACATGACCTCAATCCCTACTGAGTCCACCAAGGTATTAGATCAACCTTGCCCTTGTTCGATGTGTTCGCCCCACGCGAATGAAAAGAAATCGCGTTCAGGCCTGCCTCAAACTGGGCGAAAAGCCAAGGCGGCCAGCAAAACCCGGAAATATCCGGGCGCCCCTTGATCACCCACCTGGCGCCGAATGGACACTTCTGCCACTCCCGCAGAAAGTTGGAGTACTGATGAACGCACCCTTGCTGCCCTCGTCCATCATCGAGACCAGAAACGATGAAGATAACGGATCATAGAGAGCCCCAGAAATTCCACTGTTCTTGCCTGTGGCGTTCGGGATTGCTTCCATCGTCTGCTTCGTGACCTCCCACTCGCTAACCCCAGGTTTTGTTATCCGAATCCATCGTGGTTGGCGCGTGGATGGCATCGATGCCCGCAGCTCCCTGCTCGTTAAAAAGAGCCGCCCGCACTTGTGGAACCTCATTTACAGCAAAGCCAATACAGCGCCTCAAGCTCCTCTCTCCGCTACAGCGCTTCGCTCCTCCCCACTACAGCGCTTCGCTCCTCCCCACTACAGCTCCCTGCATCACACACGAGGCGAACGAACAACCGCCATGATGCGACTCTCTTTTTTGCTCCTGGCTTGCTTCGCCATCGCTTCCCTGCTCGTTCCCTCCGGCCAAGGTATTCAGAATGCTCACTTTCTTCTTCTTCTTGCACCAGCGCTGAGGTTCACTCACTGACGTCTCACTTCTCGCAGCATTCAACGGCGGCTGCGAAGGCTACGCGGTGAGGTTCGATGGCACGAATTGGCTGGATGCCGGCCACGGCGCGTGGAGTCAGCCCAAGGACTACACGCTCGAGTTCTGGATCAAGCCCTACCTCACCCAGCCCAACGCCTTGGCCGTCCTCGGCAACTTCCTCCGCATGGGTGCCTTTCCTCATCGCCTTCAGTGTTGGATCGCCACCCGATTGGTTTTCCTCTTCTGCAGACCACTTCAACTCTGTTTGGCTTGGAACACGGCCAGCGATTACATGTGCCAGGCGTTTCTTGATGTACTGACGGGGGTGTTTGGTGTCTGCAGAACGCCAGGGCTTTGGTTTCGGTTTCCTGATGGAGGGCGACCGGATCATCTTCATGGACTCGCAGCCGTTCGACGGCCAACTAAGCGCGTCGATCCCTTTCAACGAGTGGACCCACGTTACCGGCACCTATGGCGCCGACGGCTCCGCGCTCTACATCAACGGCCGCCGCGTCGCGCACAGGCCCGGACGTGCCGCCCTGCGCTACTATACCACCGACGGGTTCCTCCTGGGCCGCACCCTGGGCAAAGAGGCCGGCTTCGTGGGCGAGCTGGCCGAGGTCCGCCTGTGGGATCGGCAGCGCGCCGAGAGCGAGGTCGCCGAAGACTGGAACAGGCCCGTGTCGGCGTCGTCGACGGGACTCGTGGCCTACTGGGCCATGCGCACGTCGGGCGACTTCTTCATTGTCGACGAGACCGACCGCGCGCAGGCCAGCGCGACCCTGGCCGGCCCGAGCCGCTTGCCACTTATCTCTCGCGCCTGCGTGACCGGCTGCAGCAACGAGAGCCGTTGCGTGCCGGCGCAGGGCAGCATCAACAAGCGACAGAGCAGCGCCCTGCCCGACATCACCGTCGACGCCAACCGCGCTCAGTCCACCATGTACATCGAACAGCGTTCCTTCCTCTCCACCGACTGCGCCGTACGTGAAGGCTGCGCGGCTGCCGGCACCCGCGTGCTTCTGCGCTTCGACACTGGTACCGCTGCTCCCACGAGTCACACTGAGTGGTGGTGTCACTGAAGTGCCTTCTTCTTCTTTTTCTCCATTGCAGCTACGCCCAACATTGGTCGGGCTGACTTGACCCTGGGCAATCCTGCTGCGGGCGGCGGATTCGTCTACGACGCTTGCCATCGGCACTACCACTTCAGCGGCTATGCCAACTACAGGTCTCCTCTCCACCACGAGTGTGCGGTGCTCTACATCGTGTCGTCCCCCGAGTAGTGCTCACGCGTTTCCTTCCGCAGGCTCTACTCGTACGACCGCACCTTGACCCGCGTGGGCAGGAAGCAGGCCTTCTGCCTCGAAGATTTCGAACCCATTAGCGGCTGGACCGGTACCCCTTGACTACCACCATGGCGCTCAATAGCAGATGAAGTGCAACACAATACTAACCCGCGGACAGGCTCGCGCTCGCTGCTGCCCAAGTTCGATTGTAACAATCAGGGCATCAGCGTCGGGTGGCAGGACGTGTACGTGGCCAACCTCGACTGCCAATGGATCGATATCACCGGTATCACGCTGGGCTCTTACTGGCTATACGTTGAGATCAACCCGGTCGTCAACGGCGCTCGAGCCTTCACCGAGTCGGACTATACCAACAACGTCTTCTGGATCCCATTCCGCATCGTCAACCCGTAGAGACGACACACACACACACACGGCACGACGTTGGTGAACAAAGGAGAGAATGGAATGGTTGAAATAAGATCTGTCTATGTGCCACAGCCGAAGGTTCGGTTCCAACAGGTGTTCTTGATGTGGGACTCGTAGTAGAGCGGGCAGAGCATGGTGATGGGGATTCGGGCAAGGATCCAGAGGGGCGAAAGCAGGAACACCGACAGGCACCAGAAGCTGAACAGAAACACCAGCTCAACCGACATAATCACGAGCAAGAGGAGCGAGAACAGGGGCAGGCACACACTAGCCGTCGTACGGCGGCAGTAGGTGCTGTCCGTTCCATAGCAGTAGATGCACGTAGCCTCTGAAGGCGATGAATACCTGAAACACACACGAAACACACGACGTACACGCACAGCGCAGTAAGGGAACCGCTACATGCGCCTTCGCAGGTCCAGAGCGTACCAGGGGCAGGACTTGTTGTTTCCTGTGTGCATCCCGTATTGCTCGAGTTTGTGTGCCTTCAGGCAGCAGTAGACTGGCCCTTCACAGGTGCAAGTGCCGCAGCCCTGCGAGGACTCGCGTGCGTCGTGCGTCAGTTCGTTCATGCACCCGCAAGCGCCCTGCTCGAGATCACCCGCCTGTGGGGCTGAAGGGGGAGAATCCGCCTCTGCGTCGATTCCAGCGCAGACAGGAGGCGAGCCTTTGAGCTCATCGGTGCACGCTGGTTCATCTTGGTCTGGGCGTTCACTGAAGTGCCAGACGGGAGGGGCAGTTGTTGGTGCACCACTACTGTTCTTGCCCTTACCCTTGCCCCCATATCTGGAAGGTTCAGAGTCTGGTCAGCGGCCTTGCCAAGTGCAGAGCTCCGGCTCCTGCGTACCGTTCAATGACTGAGCGCAGCGCGTAGTTGGGCACCAGCTGCTCCAAGGTGAGCGAGTGCTTGCACACGGGACACACTGGGTGGTTCTGGTGCAGCCAAGTAGTGATGGAATCTTTGGAGAAGCTGTGGCCGCAGCCCGAGGCCATCATCGCCTCCTCCTACACACGCCCCGTCGTGAGTAGGTGTGCGCAGCTTTCAGCGCAAGTCGTGAGTGAAGGCGGGCACCATCAGCATGAGGGTGATGGGGTCACAGAACTCCTCCGGCACGCTCTCGTCACTGAACTCATCCCCCTGGCTCATGCTGGTGTCACTCAAGCTTGGGCTCTGGCAGGCGCTTGGGGCTGACCAAAAAAGAAAGGAACGGGTGCCAATTATTTCAGACATGCAAAGTCGTTCAAGGTATTTGTACAATGTAAAAATAAAAATATAAAAATATAAAAAATCAAGAATAAAATTAGGAAGAGCTAGGAGCAGGAGAACGTCTTGTTCCAGCAGGAGTCCTTGATGTGTTGGTCGAAGTAGAGCGGGCAGAGCATGGTGATGGGGATCCGCGCGAACAGCCAGATGGGCGAGATCACGAAGAACGCCACCACCCAGAACACGCACAGGAAGACCAGCTCGAGCAGCAGAATCACGCAGAGGACGAGCGCGAGCGGCGCCAAGCACACGCTGGCCAGCGTCCGCCGGTTGTAGGAACTGTCGGTGCCGTAGAAGTAGATGCACAAAAAACCCGATAGCGACTTGTACCTGTCGCACAGTGACACGCAACGCACGTGAGAGTAAGCGATGAGTCCAGATCGCGTGGGTTACGTCGCGGGTACCAGGGATACGATGAATTGGGGCACGCCGTCCTCTGTTCGCATTCGCGAGCCGTTTTGCAGCAGTAGACGGGTCCGTCGCAGGTGCAGGTGCAGCAGCCCTGCGGGGCCTCGCGTGCGTCTCGTGTCATCTCGTCCATACAGGCGCAGCAGCAACCTTCTTCCACGTCGCCGCCTCCAGGCGCAGAGTGAACGGCACCAGCAGGGGCGGGGGGCGGAGCATCGGCTTCTGCGTCGATCCCAGGCGATTGCCCGTACGATGCGCCAGTGGACGTGCCGGTGTACACAGGTGGCGCCTTGACCGGATCAGGAGGCCCATAGGAGTCTGCGCCTGCACCTGTGGTGCCGAGTGAAACACCCCAAGTTAGCGCAGCTGCGGATTCTGCACGAGAGGGTATGGAGCGTGTGCAAGTAAGTACTACGTACGGTTTTCGTAGTGGGCTGTGTACTGCGCGGGTACGCTGTCGCTCTTGCGGACGGTGTGGCCACGCTTGGTTTGATAACTGCACACAGGCAGGTTGCAAGCGAAAAGTTGGTCAGGCCACGAAGAGACGAGGTCAAGGCCGAGAGTGCACGGCGTACCGTTCGATGGCAGAGCGGAGAGCGTAGTTGGGGACCAGCTGCGCCTCGGTCAGAGAGCTCTTGCACACGGGACACACTGAATGGTTCTGCCGCAGCCAGGTGGTGATGGAGGCCTTGGAAAAGCTGTGACCACACCCTGCCGCCATCATCGCCTCCTCCTGCGTGCCCGTAGAATTAATCATCATAGTTGGCAAGATTAAATTAAATTATAAAAATAAATAAAGGTACCATGAGAGAAAGGGTGATGGGGTCGGAGAACTCCTCAGGCTCCATGCTGCTGTCCTCGGATTCACTGCCGCTGTGCATTGTTAAAATCTCGAAAACAAAAAAAAACAATTACAACGGTTTACCGTGAGCCGCTTCTTCGCCGCAGTTTTGCTTTTGGTTCACGAATCGCGGAGTTCGGCAGCCGCTGGTTCGAATCCCACTGCATGCGTTAACAACTGCTCTCTTGTGTTTTCCCTTGTACGCTACTCGCCACAGATGCCGCGCAGGAAGGGCGTAGCGTTCAAGAGTTCGTCCCGTAAGAGCTCGGTTCTCCGTGAGGTTCTTGCTCCTTGCTCGTTTCTATTTGTTTGTGTCTTAAACGGTAGAGCTCCAAATCTTCTCCAAGCAGTGCAGCTCGATACTGGTGCTATCACCTCACGAAAATTGTTTTCTTGACCTCCTTCCCACATACACCTCGACCTTCGCCCCTCCTCCCCTACCCTAACCACCCCCACTCTAGCCACTTGGCTCGACCGTTCCGTCCTCGCGTGCCTCTTGCTCTCGTTTGCCTGTTCCTTTTTAGTCCTTAAGGAATTACAAACATGCAGGTGGTTCTCTCGGACAGCGAGCAAGAGGCACGGGAGGACGGAACGGAAGAAAAGGTGGAGAAGAGGCACCCGAAGCCAAACCACGACAAGGGGAAAGAGAGGACGAAGACGACGGTAAATGGCAAGCGTAAGCGTATGCCGTTGGAGGAAGAGGAAGCCGATTGCTCTGAGTACGAACCGAGCGCCGATGAGAAGATCAACGACGAAGACGACGAGGACTACATGGTGAAGGCGCCACGTCAGAAGGGAAGCACTATCAACAAGAGGAGAAAGAAAAGTACCAATGGAGAAAGCGACTTAGCGGAACACAGGAAGAGATGGAACACTGACCACGACGAAGACGAAGAGGAGGAGGAGCGGCCCACCAAGAAGAGGAACTGGACTGAGTCAGAAGATGAGTTGCTTATCGAGGCCGTCGATGACCACTCCGCAAGGGGCTCAGTTGCGTGGGTCCGCGTGGCCAGTCAGATCCGGCGTCAACGCACCCCTCGGTACCGTCCAACAGCAGTACCGGGACTGATCGACCTTGCCGTGTTTGCTGATGGCTGACCCCGCGAGTGCGTGTGCAGTGGGTGTAAAAGGAGATGGGAACAGGTCAAGGCGATAGCCAGCGTCTACGACACGCCACAGAAGAGGAAGGAGAGAGAGGTACCTACCTCGCTTTTCTCTTTGCTGGCGTTGATCTGACCGGGTCCATGGATGAGCGCAGAAGATGGTGGCAGAGAGCCGAGTCCGCGCCTGGACACCGACCGAAGAGGACAAGCTGTGGCGCGTTTCGCAGAAGAGGGACCTCAAGTACGACAGCCGTACGTAGCCTCCCCACCCCACCACTCACCGCTCCACCGCGCTAGCGCCGAGTCGAATGATAATTTGAGATGGTTGGGCGGGTACGTTTGGCAGGGCTGTGGGTAGAGCTCGAGGCTAAGTTCCAGCGTTCGAATCGTGCGCTGCAGCTCAAGTTCGCCGACCTGAAGAAAAGACACTCTGTGCCTCGCCCAAAACCTAAAGTCGAAGCCGACGAACAAGAGATCTAGAGAGAACTCATCCCACCACAACACTACTGAGTGGATCGCCACAAAAAGAGTAAACGGAAGCTATGTTGACCACACGTGTGACGTGAAAGAACAAGAGGCAAGGAGGTTGACGCTGTGAATGAGCCTGGCTTGTTGAATCGTTGACGGCTGTACGTAGTTAGGAGGGAAGTAAGCAAGCGGAAGGAAGTGGGATGATTCGCGAGCTGTACCTGGTTGACTAGTGCTTGGCCTTGTCAGCCTCCGGCTCAAATCGCAGGCTCACAGAGTTGACACAGTGGCGCTCGTCCGTCGGCGTGGGGAACTTCTCACCCTTGAACACATGGCCTACACATCGCGATAGGTGAGCTACAGGACCTCTTGAGATGAAGGTTGGGTGAGTACCCAGGTGCCCGCCACACTTGGCGCATACGATCTCGATCCTCGTCATGCCGAACGTGGTGTCTTCGTTTCGCAGCACAGCACCGGGCAGGGCATCGAAGAACGCAGGCCACCCACAGCCCGAGTTGAACTTCGTGTCCGAGCTGCACTAACTGTTGTGAGTGGGTGCAGCGGTTGCGCAGACGACAGGCGATGTACAGACCTACCTGAAGAGAGGAGTGTCGCAACCGGCACACCGATAGATGCCCTTTTCATCGTGCTTGTTGTACTCACCGGTGCCGGCCCGCTCAGTGCCCTTCTGCCTCAGCACTCGGAACTGCACGATGTGTGAAGAAGATCGCGGTGAGATGCATCCAAGAATGATAACACAAACAAACAGCACCTGCTCTGCGCTGAGCTGCGCCTGCCACTCTGACTCAGGTTTCTCTACGGGGAACGATGTCATATTGACGTTCCCAATTTTTGTAAAGATGGAGATGAAAGTTAAGAAGAGAATGAGGTGGAGGAGATGCGCCAGCTCGCGAACAAAATAGAATTTGATGTGTGCCAGATCGATGAGATGACGTATTTGCTGTTTACAATGTCGACACGCCGCCAAACAGCAAGTGCCGTGTCAACAGGTTGCACTGCTCAAGCCCATTTTCTTCGCTACCTTCTACATGGTGGCACCTTGCCTGTCTTGTCTTACACGGTTCGGACTCACGTTGTTGTTCCTAAACTTACAATGCTACATGGAATCTTCCGTCTTTGCTTGCCTCCGCCCGCACTGCACCGGACACGAAAGGAGTCAGGATTGCTGCCCAAGACAAGGAAGCGAAGTGAAAGGTGAACGTACGGCTAGACTTGGCGTCGAGTGCGTCCTGCAGCCAGCCGTCGATGTCGCCGCCCTGGTCGGCCTTCACGTGGATGGCCTTGGCCAAGTCCTCCTCTGCTGATTCGGGCGATGATGTGTGGAAGAGGGCCACCGTGTCTGCAGGAGAACAGTGCTGCGATGAGTGACTGTGCACGCACGTGTCATGCCACACCGCGTAGGACATTACCTGTCTCGCCTTCGTATTTCATGAACGAGGTCTCCGAGAGCGAATAGACCTGAGCAAGCTTGAACTTGCCCTCTCTGTTCTTGACGGTGTCGAGGAGAATGTCGTTGAACAAGAAGAAGTGGTGCTTGGCGAACGTGGTCTTCTCCTTCTTCACCTTCTTGACCAGCAACGTGTCATCGCGCAAGAAGGAGCGGGTCTGCGACGAAAACAACGAGAATTGCTGCAAAAACGTGTGCGTGAGTCGTGGCCTTGAACTGCGCGTGACCCGGCCAGCTGTAAATAAAGGGGAGGAAAAAGGTACCCCTTTGGCCTTGCCCAAGATGAGGTTGCTCTGGATGGCGGCCATCTTTGTTGAATTGTCTCGCTTGCGCTGTAAGAAGGGGAAAGAGATTAGTCATACCGGCAAACTGAAGTTGCCAAACGAGAGCAGTGCGTACCTTTGCTTCGTTGAGGTGCTCGTTCACCTTTTTCACGGCCTCCAAGAGTCTGCTCAGCTTCAAGTGCTCTGTTTCCTCAGTTGTGTACTTCACCATGTCCTATAGACAAAGGATCCGTAAGATGAACGTTCTGATTCGTGTCGGGAATGATCTCCGTACCCTTAGCAGCATTTCGTATCTAGGGAGGCGCTGGATGGGTCTGATGAGATAAGACGACAAGTCCTGCGATTCAACTTCCGGCTTCTGTTCAAGTTGCTGTAAACACAAAGAAGTGGGTTTTAGCACCATGTTACGCCAATAAACACGCCGCGCAAGGCTTGCGCTGTCGCAGGTGTAATCGAAAGAACCTTGAGTAAGGCAGCAAACTTCTTCGAGTTGGCATTCAGTTCGATCAAGAGGCTAATCGCCGCAGGGTGGTTGTTTACATATTCAGTGTACAACTGAACTCGATAAAAAAGAAGATGTTAGGGGACTGGAGCTTGTACTCAAGGGGTCTGAGCAATATACGCACTTTGAGGTAGGGCGCAATCACAAGCAAGCCATCGGAGAATGATGAACGATCCGAGGACTTGATTGTCTCAAGCAAATGCTTGTGCATCTGGATCAGGAAGAGCGCGTCAGGATCTGAAGGGAGTGGATGGGTGGGGAACTGGTGCGCACCTCCAACAGCTGCGTGCGAACGCGAGAGAACAAGGTATCGCACTGCTCTGGTGTGAGCAATCCGCTCGCCTCCAGAGGCCCCTCAAAGTGCTGCCAAGCAGAAAATAAGTGAGCGTAGACCAAAACCAGGAGGAGATGCGGGTGGAGTACATCATGAAGCTTCTGGAGGCTCTTGTAGTAGGTCTCCTCGGTGTCGAGGAACTCCTGCTGGAGCATCACCGTCCTTTCCTGGGGTGTGAGGATCTTGCGGGGCGGAAGTGGTGATGATCCGGTCGAAGCTCCGCCAGCAGAGCCGGAGATGGTGCTGGGCGAAGACGCAGAGGAGGCGAGGCTGCTGGTCAGCACTTCGAGATTCATGCGGCCGGCAATGGCGTCGATTGAGGCCTTGGTTGATACGCTGCGCCCGCGTTTGGCGTCGGAGCTCTCCGCAGCCGACACTGCTCGCTCGCCCCTCGTGGTACTTGAGGTCAGCACCGAACCGGCCAGGCTACTTGCTCCAGCCAAAGCTCCCGACAGGCCGACTTGATCGTCGCTGGCCGACCTGTTGGTCATCTCGTCACTTCCGCGTTCGGTTTCCGCCAGCACGAGGGCGAGTGTCGAACGGAGTCGCTTTTCCGACGCTACGATGTCGTTCTCCCTCACGGCGGCCGACAACTTGGCGGGGTCTTCGTTGACCAGTTGCGTGAGCGGCGTGTTGGCGGCAAGCGGAAGCAGCTCGAGCCGGGCGAGTCTGCCGATGCGCGCCAGCTTGGCATTTAGTTGGGTCACGCTCGCGTGCGCCCGCGCGAGCTGCTCCTGGAGCTCCTTGATGGTGTCGTCGCGGGTATCAACGTCGGCATGGCCTCTGTTCGCCACTGATGTAGGCTGTTGCGCCGACGCCTGTCCCTTGTCACTGCTGGACGGCTGCGCCGGGTCCACAAATACAAGCGATGGGCTTGACGTTGAGCGAGCCGTCAAACGCGGTGACGCGACACGAGCGGACATTGAAGTGCCTCGGGGAGATGTGGCGCGAGGCGAAGTAGAGCGCGGCGAGGTGGGTCCAGTAGAATCGCTTGTGTGGCTGGCACTCGACGTGTAAGATAGCTGGGGAGGCGTAACGCGTGGAGACTTGGGAGGGGCAGTGTGACGCGGTGATACAACGCCACCCAGCGAGGGTCCACGAGGACTCGAAGTGTCCGAAGGTCTGCACAATAAAGCAGCAAAAAAATGCAGCATCGGTGAGCGAGGAACAGTTAGGAAGAACGGAAGTAGTTGGCGTACTCTTTTGTGGGCGTCCGCGGCGTAGTGTGGCCTGAGGGCGCCTCGGTCTCGTGTGTTGAACCATAGAGTTGGGGCCCAGGTCGGTTGCGAGCCTGTCATGGCGCAGATTAGAGCCCAGGGAGTTGATTAGCATGGAGCAGGCGGTCACGTACGCTGCCCACCTTCGTGGACAAAATGGAAAGCTCGAGTGGCGTCTCATCGGCCGCGCTCATGACCGTGGCCAGGTTCTGTAGCTTGCTGAACTCCACATTGAGGATCTCCTCCTGTGTCCGCCAATCAACACCCACGCATGAGTCCTCAGGGTGCCAAGGGGAAAGGGAGGAAGGGAGAACTTGGCCAAGCGCGTGCGAGCGAGAGCGGCCTTCGGTTTTTTGTATGTGAAAAGAAAGGGAGGAGTGCCTTCGAGCGCAGCGTGTCGCGTAGCTTGAGCTGGTAGTCGTTGGGGTTCGTCTCCTTGGCCAAATCAGGAATTTGCTTGAAGATCGCACGCTACAAAGAAAAAGGAAGAATGAGATGAGGGCAAGACGCTTGGGAGATCGCTTTGCATACACACCTTGACTTGATCGACGGTGTAACCAGCAGGTAGGATGAACTCGTGCACCTCGGTCCCGCTGGGCAGTTTCACCTGTGTGCGAATTGGAATAAGTTGTCGATGTGGCGGGAGTTGGCGGGTTGTGTGGGAATGAATACATGAATGTGAACGCCCTTCTTCTGCGGCGAGGGGAGATTGGCCCTCCCCCTTGGTGATGACTCCATTTCTCGCGCTAAAATGAAATGACCTGCTTCAACCACCACCTCGCTCTACTGTACTGTCGCCCTCTAATTCCAACCCACTCTCAATTAATCTTCTCTAGTGCTCGATCGTTGTCTTGTCCAGGTTGCTTGGTGGAACAAGGCTACTCTTCATTTTCACGCAGGGCGAAATATGTTAGGAATGAGGCGAAAGGAGGAAACAAGAAAACAAAAACGAAAGAAAACGAGAACGAAGGAGCAAAAGCCAAACGCGTCTCTGGTCACCATTTGCCCCACCAATTGGGACAAGCGTCGTAGCAGGTGCAACCCCGTACTTCTTTTTCATGTCACGGCCAGCATGTCCCGCACACAAGAGCAGTACCCGCCCTTCTTAACTATTTTGTAATAAATAATACATAAATAACTCTCACTACCCGCAGGCTGAAGACGCATGGGGTGCTGCTTGTCGTACAATTCAGTTGGGCCAGCCTCACCATCTTTGCCAAGCTGGCACTCGGTTCGCTCAGCTTCACAACTTCTATGGTTTCATTCGACTGCCACTGATCGAACCTTTGCTTATTGCCGGACAGGCTACATGACCCCAGGCGTCTTTCTGACCCTGCGGCTGTGCGCCAGCATGCCCTTCTTCTTCCTCGCGGCACTTTACGCTGATCGTGAGGCGTGGCGAACGACGGACGCACTCAGCACCCGCAATGTGGTTGTTGCAGTGCTTCTTGGCGTCTGCTGCTTTTGGGCCAACCAAACAACGTTTATGTACGGCCTGTCCCTTACAACAACTACGAACGCAGGTTCGTTTACGCTTCACACCGGCTTCTATCTGCTGCCACATGGCCTTGTCTAATGCTCGCCTGGTGACTCAGCCGTCTTGATGCTGCTCATCCCTATTTGGACGTGCATCGTGTGCGTGATTCTGGGGCGAGAGGAGAAGGGCTGGCTCAAGTTCCTTGGCATTGTCGTCACAATCATTGGTGCGACTATCCACTGCTTCTGTTTCACTCACCATGTCTCTGCTTGCGATTGTCCTCACCATAGTTGTGCCACAGGTGCCGTCGTTTTGCTGGAGGTTGAGTCTTTTGAGCTTTCACACGACACTATGATGGGCAACTTTTTGGTCATTGTGACCACAGTACGTTTCCTATCAGGCATTGATGCCTGCCTCATCAGATTTCCCTCGGCAGTGCTGACACCTTGTTGTGATGCATGGGCGGCAGGTACTGTACACCATCTACATTGTGATGGGCAAGCCTCTCTGTAGCAAGATACCTCCATTCACCCTTTCGTTCATCATGTTTGGTGCTTCAAGTTGCATGTGCATCATCTTTGTGTGGACTGACTGGGGTCAATGGGGCGCGGTATGTCACACCTTCACCTTCACCCCAAGCCTCGGCTAACTACTAAACGAGCTACGTATATGACCAGTTGTGGGATCTCCCGCTAGAGGCGTGGGTGTCCGTCTTCATTGCTACATTTGTCGGCACCTTCGTTACCTACGGGTAGATCGCTCCTTCAGCCACATGACCACCTGACTGACCCACGCTGGCTGACCTTCCTTCTGGACTGTCTTGTCTGTTCAAGGTTGACAACGTGGGCACTCAGACAGGCGCCAGAAACAACGGTGGTACTCTACGGGCCAGTTGAACTGATCTTCACTGGTTCATACTCCCACTCCACCTGGTTAAAGCTTCTCCTTCTTGGCTCACTGTATTCTCTTCCCACCAGGCGTCATGGCGGTCACCATCCTCGGCGAGAGGCTCACGTGGCGGCTATTGGCCGGCTCGAGTGGCATTGTTGCAGGCCTATTCTTGGTGATCTATGCTCTGCACAGGTATGTGCAGACCTTGAGATTGCCTACCATCATCTTATCTCACTTGATGACTGGTCTACAGGGAAGCTGCTGCACGTCAACAGGGGCACCATTGGCTGGAACAAGAGAGCCGGTGTGACACAGCCAACAGCAAGCCAGCCTGTAGCGTGGTAGAGGAAGGTGGGAGTGCCAAGCTTGAGCAATGTGACGGTACGCGCACCCTACCAACTGTTGAAGAACACACTCTGACGCCGGCTCTCTTGTCGTGCAGAATCGACTGCGCTCCTTGGCACCAGGTGACCGCTTTGGGTGAGGCTACTGACATCGTGCGTTACCGCGGCCCATGTGTGAATCAAAATGGTCACCATCCCGGCCAACGTGGCGGCTGTTGGCCGGCTCGAGCGGCATTGTGGCGGGCCTATTCTGTGATCTTCTGGTATACGTCCATAGCTTGTTGCCTGTCATCTTATCTCTTGACGACTGGCCTGGTGACGGAGCCAGCCTGTAGCGTGGTAGAGGAAGGTGGGAGTGCCAAGCTCGAGCTATGTGACGGTACCAGCCTTCCTGTTGGCCTTCTTAGATGAAGCCGAAGGCCCGTTGGGTGCGAAGAACCAACCGCCCGCCAAAGAACGCACTCTGATGTCGGCTCTCGTCGTGCCCACTCAGAATCGTTTGCTTACTCCTTGGCACCAGGTGCCCGTAGCACCCGGACAGCACAGTACCGGGCCCGCTCACGAATCGTGCAGCTTTCGAGTCTTCATGTTTCATGTGCCTGGCGACCTGTGGCACGTGTTCTGTCGGGGTGATCCAGTCGTCCATTTCTATTCTGTCCCGGCTCACCACGACAAGGCCACACGAGAGAGAGAACAAGCGAAGAATCCGGGGTTGGCTTCACGACCTCAGGCGCTCCAATCTGGGAGGAGTGTTTGAAACGACCAACACCTTCGAGCCACCAAGAGAGGGAAGCAGCGCTAAAGCTCCCTGCACGAATCATCACCTCACACTCCTAGGTGAGCTTCAAAACCGCAAGGCTCGCAATACTCCGAACTGACTGGAGAAAGTACCTGCGATCCTCCTGTGCGCGGCAGACTCACGCTGAGGCCAAACGATACACGATACGACACATCACGGCCTCAGTAACGGCACTTGAAGAACGAAAGCTAAGGTGAGAGATGGACGCCCAAAGAACGAAGGCGGTGGGAGTAATACAGGCGGCATGGCGCGCCTACGCCCCGTTTCACTTGCTGGCCTCCTTTCATCATCTCCTCCACACCCCGCCTTCTTTGGGTACTTGCCCCCCCCCAAGCCGCAGTTGGATTTAAATCACCTGTTCTAGAGGATTAAGAGCGATTTATTTTATGGTTAAATGATTAAATAATTATTGTAATTATTTTCAAGCCTCGTGGGCCGACTTCCTCGTTTCCATAAATCGGACCGTTTTATAGAAGTTGGCCACCTGGTTGGTTTCTTGAACTGGCCTCTGATCAGCTTCCCCGTGTGTGCTCTGCGGAACGTGGCTACAGCGAACGGAGAACATGCTCGAACAGTGCAGCACCTGACGACCTACCTCACGACCGGCCCGGCACAGGCAAAGGAAGATTTCTTCAACCGTGCGCAGGCGCTGGGGTTTTATCCGTTTGCCGTCGTTGATCGGGCGGAAGACGATGACCACAACAAGCGAGGTAACCAACCCACCCACCACTTCGTCATTTACTGGGCCAGGTCTCTGACGCGCGCAAGTGGGCGCAGGTCCGGCGGAAGTGCTATGGTCGGAGCTCTTGCACGCAGACAACGGCCGCGCGCTGGTCAAGGCCGGCTCCGTTCCGTTCCTCATCCAGTCCCTCGTCTCCGATTACGGCGGTACCCGCATCGAACACAAACACACAACAGTCGCACGCACGAGAGCGCTAACTGGCGTGTCGTGTCGTGTCATGTGGTCATCGGTGCACAGGTGTGGAGCAAACATTTTTGGAGGATTTTCTCCTCACCTATCGCACATTCCTCACACCGCACGCACTGTTGCTGTTGCTCATACTCCGCTACTGGGTGCCGCTGGGCGACAAGGACGACAAGCGAGAGGAGCGCGAAAAGAAACAGCGAATCCCCATTCAAATCAAGTACCCACCGACCGTATGTGTGTGCGCATGACCACGTGCTGAATGGAGTCTTTTGGGCGTCTTGCAGGACCGTGCGCGTACTGCGGATGTGGATCGAGCAGGTGCCGACCGACTTCACCGACGATGATGTGCTCACAGCCAACGCGACCAGTTTCCTGACGGGCATCGAGACGTTCAAGGTGGCGTCGGGCGAGATTCTCAACATGCTCAGGGAGAAGCGCAACCCAGGCGCGACGCATCACGAAGACGACACACATGTACAGCCGATGCTGACCTCCCGAGGCCAGAGCGACGGGCCAGAGCGGGGCCAGGTGGTTAATTTTGAAGGTGCTGACGATTCGAACGAAGACGGCGACAGCGACGGTGGGCTGGCCGACGGCCAAAAGCCCAAGCCCGCCGGTAAGTCGGACCGATCGTTCCTCGCATTCGATGCCGCAGATGTGGCCTTCGAGTGGACGCTTTCCGCACAACGCTTCTACAGAGCCGTCACACCGCGGGTAATCCCCGCCTCTCTCTTTCCTTGCATGTCGGGTGAGGGTTGACTGCTCATCTGGCTCTTTCCTGTCTCCCGCAGGAGTTCATCAAGCAAGCATGGAACAAGAAGGCGAAGCTGGAGCTCGCGCCCAACGTGTCGGCGCTGATTGAGGATTTCAATCAGGTTTTTCCTTCACCTGCACCCGAACAAGCTTGCATTTGCTGCAAGGCCGTCAGCCTCTCACCCATGCCTGTGTGCTGGCAGATGTCGGAATGGGTGTCGCTGGTGGTGCTCTCCTACAGAGACAGGAAGCGCAGGGGGGAGGCCATCTCCCGGTTTATCAACATCGCCTACGTATGCTCGGCCTCTCTTCTCTCCACCCCATTCGCCTTACCCAAGAGCCCTCAATAATCTAACCTCACTCTATTCTCTGCTCTATATCCTGCAGGAGTGTCACCGGTTGAAGAACTATCATACGGTGATGGTGGTTCTGTCGGGCCTCACCAAGGCGCACATCACTCGCCTGAAGAAGTCTTGGGAGGTAGGAGACCCAGCCCACCAGCGTCTTTGCACATCTTTGCGAGTACTCATCTTTTTTTTCTTTTCGATTAGCTTGTCGACAACCGAGCGAAGAGCAAGCTCAAGCTGCTGAATGAGATCATGGGCATGGACTCCAACTACCAGCAGTACCGCCTTGCGCTACGGTACACGCACGCACACACGCACACACGCACGCAGGCACACACGCTCGTACACGCACACGCACACGCACAGTTACTTATTCTTCCTCAACAGAGAAATCGTGCCTCCGACACCAAGCGTTCCGTTCCTGGGACTCTTTCTCACCGATCTCACGTTCCTGGACGAGGGTAACTCCGAGCTGATGTCATCCACCGCTTCTTCGTCTTCGTCTTCATCGTCATCGTCGACTTCCACGTCAGTGACATCGCCCTCGTCAAGCGACAACAGCATACGTACTTCGTCCAAGCGTCGCAGCTTCTTCAAGGTCAAGTCCGACCGGTCGGTTAGGCTCGAATCCAAGCTCCGAGACTTGAGTGCCAGCCACTCCAAGGAGGACCTCAGCGCCTCGGCCGCGCTGATCGAAAAGTCGACGACGGCGCTGCCCGACATGTCGAGTCCATCGCCCCGCCACAGCGTCCACGGCGGGTCGTCGGCCTCGAACAAGCGCCTGAGCCTGCTCCATAAGAAGGGCCAGATCGAAAAGAGCGAAGACAGCGAAAAGCGGCTCTCCATGAAGTCAGTGAGGTATCTCCCCCCCCGACTCTGCCCACCCTTCGCTCTTTTTATAACTCCGACACGGCAACTCCAACCGCAGGTCGCTTTCGGTGTACATGAAGGGTACCAGCGAAAAGATGCGCAACCTGCGGGGCAGGAAATCGACATCAACCTTCGCCACGATGGACGAATCGGAGTTACTTTCCGGGTGGCGAGCCGAAGAGTCCCCGAGGCTCACGCCGGAGGAGCAGGCCGCGGTCCAGGCCTGGAAGCAGCTCGACGCGCGGCCACCGGCCGACTCGTGCATGCAGGAGAGCGGCGATAGTTTCGTGGGAGGCCGACGCAGCCGCCGGGCGCACACCAAGCGAATGCCGCAGGTCTTCGACTGGAAGGAGCTCTCCGAGGCGCTCGTGAAGGAGGAGAAAGAGCTTTCAAGCGCGGTCGACGTCGTCACGACGAGTCCCGCCGACAAGGAGGACACGCCCAGTAGTCCAGTCGACAAGCAGGACGAGGAGGTCGACGCATCCAATAAGGCGGATAAGGCCGGCGTCGAGGAGGAGATGCTGATCAACTGGATGAAGCAGCGGACGATGGCCAAGGTGCTGCGCGAATTCCTCAGATTCCAGAACTGCAGCTATCCGCTGCCGAAGAAGCGCGGGAAGATCATCCGCCGCAAGCTCAAGGGCAAGCTCGACCGCAAGTCGGGCGCCATTGACCACTCCGAGCTCACCAAGGAGTCCAGCAGCAGTGGCACCACCCTGTTCTCCTCCGGTACGGCGCTTGACTTTGAGGGCTTCGCCGACGACGTGCCCGACGCCGGCATGGCCGAGCTCGAGGAGATCCGCGACATGCTGCGCGAGATGCGGCTGCCGCCCGACATCGCCAACGTGCTGGACCTGTCCACCTACCTGCCGGCGTCGGTCATCCCGCATGTACCGTTCACCCAGAGCGCCGCCTCCGAGAGCCGCACGCCGCGCGGCTCGTCGTCAACCGGCAACTCGCCGCGGTCGCGGTCGGCCACATCCCTGATCTCGCACACTTCGGTCCCCGCCGTCGAGGCCCTCGCGCGCGTGACCGAAGACCAGTTCAAGTCGCCGCGGGCGTCGATGATCGCCACCTCGCGCACGCCGCCGTCGCTCTCGCCACGCGGACCCAGCGTCTGCATCAAGCGTACGACCTCGATGCCGACCATCACGGTCACCGAAGAGCCCTCCGCTGCCACACCAGCCAGCCTCAATCTTGATCTCACATCGACGACGCGCACGTTCACGCCGCGCGCTACGCTGGAACAGCACGCGGAGCTGTTCACGATGAAGAAGCTCAAGCTCGACGACAGCCTCCTGTTCGACCTCTCGCTGTACCTCGAACCGCGCGCCGGCTCGCAGGTCGGCGGGGCGGCCGACAAGAAGGCGCCGGGTCTGTTCGTCATCTCGTCGCCACAGTCCTCACCGGCAGCGACCTATCGTGCGCGCAACAAGATCGACCGCACGATGGTCGGCGCTGATTTCGGCGACATGTTGCCTGTCGTCGAGGAGGTGCCCAGCCAGCAGCCGCCCTCGGCTGACTCTGGCACCACCGGATGCCGGATCAAGCACTCGAAGAGCAGCGAGTCTTTAACCCCGACTGCGAGTCCGACTGCCCGTAGAAAGAACGAAAGTGACGACTCTTCGCTGGTGACTGGCAAGGCGTCGCGGGTTGTGAAGAAGGAAGGCCGGCCGCGATCGAACACGACTAGCATCCTGCCCGCGGAAGCCTCGGCCTCTGCTGAAGAATTAGAGCGGCTCAGACACAAAGACGACGCGCCCAAGGCCAAGGAAGCCGCGGGTGAGGACGACGAAGGAGGAAGGGGAGTGGCCAAGAAGGCCAGCAAGGCGCGCAAGCTGTTGAAGAGCAAGAAGAGCAAGGAGCGGCTCGACGCCTGAGCAAATACACCGTAATGTATATCCTTCAAATAGAACAACGCCTTTGCCTACACCTGATCTCCGGAGTCCTTGTGTAGGATGCGACGCAGTTCGGCAATGACCTCCTCTGCCTCGTCTTCGCCATCGTCCTTCAGCGCGGCTTCAACTTTGCCGAGGTTGGCCTCCAGGAAGGAGCGCAACTTGATGAGCGCATCATTGCGCGCTCGTGTTGGCACCTTTTAAAAGCCCCCGGGCAGTCGAATTGGGTGAGTTGCAGTGTGACGGACAGGGTGCGGTGTGGTGACGTACGGTGATGTCGGTGAGCTTGCCGCGCTCCGGGTGGTCCACGATCTGATCGTAGAAGCGACCGAGGGCGGGCTTGTTGGACACGATGAACGCGTTGAGCCGCTCCATGTACGCCTGTGTATGGTTGAGTGTTGGTCAATGCGGGATGAAGGTTGAGAAAAAGGGCGGTGAAGTAGATACCTCCTTGGCGCCGGGCAGGGTGTCGTTGGCCAGGTTCTGGAGCACCTTGGTCACCAGGATCAGCTGTCGCTGCGCCATCTGTCCTCCCCACCACAAATCGATCGTTGAGATTTGCAGATTGGCTGGCGATCATCATGTGCTTTCAGCTTTGCGGGAATGTACGGGGTGAGGCGGCTCGTCGAGAAGGCCGTGCAGCTGGGGCGCAAGAAGTGCCGGACAGATGAGGCGCAGGAAGAAGAACCCGCCCATGGCCCTGAACACGGCCTCGTCGCTGAACTTCTCCGTCACCTGTTTGTCATCACGCGCCTGTTAGTCTCGCCAACAATCAGGGTACCGAGCAAACAAAGACGTACGTCATCGTGAATGCGGCGGATGAGCAGGCGCAGCTCCTGCGGCAGGCTCTTCTCGCTCTGCATGATGACTTTGAGCATTTTCTGAGCGGTGAGCCAGAGCTCGAGCGTGTTGATGTCCAGGTCCGACGCCTCGTCCAGTTTCTGCCATGTGCATTCACATCAGACTCGAGTCAGATGTCTGCAAGTGTTCAGCCAGCATGGATTAGTTATGGTTCCAAACCTGAGGGTCGAGCTCCATTGATGACGCGCCCAGGATGTCCATCGACACAGAACCGCTCTCTTCATCCTCCACATTGATGTCGCGGTCGACCTTGTACTTGTTGCCGAACACGCGAGAGCTGCTGTAAGACGACGAAGACGATGCGTCTTTGGCTCCTGCAATGTCTTGGCGTCAGTCACCATTGTCATGATTGGACACTTCAGCAGGGTGGAATACGCACTGTGGTCGTTGTCGACGGCGTTGTCGTTGAGCGCGTGGAGCGACAGCACCAACACGTGCCACAGATACTTGAGCGCGATCTGTTTCATGTACAGCGTGAAGAGCTTGGCCGCCGCGCTGTTGGACCGGAACAGCGTGCCCTCCTCGTCCGCCGACGCCACCTCAAGCGTGATGGTGCGCGCGATGAAGTTGTAGGCCTGGAACTGGCCTGCCAGCACTCGCAGAAGCGCCCGGTACATCTGCCATTCCCCGTCGTGTGAGCCACCAGCCAGAAGGGAATGGCCATCTCCATCGAAGGCCATAGTTGGGAGGGCGTACCGTGTCGCGCTCGCCCATGCCGGCAACTTCGCAGATGGCGAGGGCAAGCCGATGGTCTGGATTGGCCAGCAGCTGTTCCAGTTGCCGATACTCCTGGTGCGCCGCCAAAGACCAATCACAAGTGAGTGTTGCGTCCAATCAGAGTTTGTATCGTGGCTTGGCATCAATTACCTCGGCCTGCTTCTTGGGCAGGGTGACGTCGCCCTTGACGTCGCCGAACGCCACCTCCTCGTAGTCCGGCTGACTGAGCTTCCGATAGGCTCCTCGCCGGCGCCGAGTGGCGACCAACACGGCGGCAATCAGCAGGAGCAGCAGGAGGCACACAAGCAGGCCTGCGCCCACGCCACCGACAATGCCTCCGATCAACGCCGCGTCATCCGAATCACTACCACTGTCTCCTGGCAGTTAGTCAAGATAACAAACGCAGGAAGGCAAAGGTGGTCGTGATGCAGTACGTGGTGGGCAAGGCCGATCCGATCATGACAGTGAAGTTGTTGGTGGCTGTGGTGCCGCCAGTGGTGTAGAGCAAGCATCTGACCGTGGAACCGTCCCATTCGTCGGTCCCGTTGACAAGCAGCGTGCTGAACGTGGCGCCAGGGATCGGCACAAAGTCCTGATGATGGAGACCGGTTACAAGGACAATGCAGAATGTCCACATTTTCTGTTGAATGGGTACCTCGACTTGGACTTCCTCTCGAGCTTCCATCCGGCTTCGCTCCGTCATCATCGAAAAGACGATGCTCACCGGATCCGCCTGCCCGCAGCGTCGTGAGCTGCGAGCCCTATCAACAAAAGAACAATTGGCTGTAGGTCGGCCACGTACCGGCAGCATGTCACCGTAGAGACCGCGTGTAGTGATGTTGACCGGATTCGAGGTCCGGTTGACGGTGACATTGACCAGCATCTGCCATTGGTACGACGGTGGCGGCCAGCTTCTGCCCTCCACGGAAATGGCGTAGTCCACTGCTCCAGCTGTGGCACCACGTGCAGTGAGTTGAGCAGCGCGAAGTAGAGATAGGCGTGGAGACATACCCGGAACTTGAACCACAGAAGGTGGTTGCCGGATCAGTTCAGGCTTGCTGGCCGATGCGGTCAGCGCCAATGCCACCTCGTGGGCAATCTCGCCGTCCGACACGCACAACTTCAACTGTTGTGCCACACAATGTCCAGCGTTTCAGAGGTATGCTTGGGTAAGTGTGGTTGTAGAAGCTGATGCGGTACCGTGGCGGCGCTGATTTCGTTGAAGAACATCTGCGTGCTACTCAACGCTGGTGAACTGATCGTAACGCCGCCGCAGGTGGTGCTGAGGGCCTGCCATGCGTAGGTGAACCTCTTGGCATATTCGCTCTCATGAGGAGCGCCAGAGAATGCCTGCCCAGAGTCGGTCACTGCCGCCTTCATGGTGAAGTTGATGAAGGGCTGCGTGGTGTACGACGTAGTTGACAAGATCGTTCCATCGGCCTCTGCGCCGTTAAGCCATCAGATCTGTTAGCTGTTCACCTCAATCGTACGTACAGGGCTACAATTGCGTACCGAAATTGACTGTTGGTGCATCGTTGGCAGTGGCTGTGGCGCCGCTAAGCAGCACAAGCTCAGTTGGGGTGAGGGCGTGGTCATAGATCTTGAACTGCGAAGTTGTGTGTAGTGTGTGGTAAATAGCATCGTCCATTGAAGTTTGTGGGGATCAACAACGAACCTCGTCAATGGTGCCTCTCCACCGATACACCTCGAAGCTGGTAGCGGTACCCACCTCCCAATCAGGGTTGGCGTCTGAAAATGTGAAACCGGGGCTCAGCGCGCAGTTCTGGTCAAGTTGCAGTCCAGTGAGCGATTAAGTTAGTGGCTGTGGGAATAGAAGGCGTGGTACCATGGCGAGGGTGTTGTTGATGTGGATGCACAGCTTCTCACCATCGTAGACGCACGCCAGGTGATAACTCACATCAGGCAGAAAACTGAAGGGAAGAAACACCTGGCCGCTGCCTTGGGTGCTGGAATAAATAGCACATGTGACCTGCAGGCCATACACTGAGTTAGCGCGCCGGCGGCCTCTACCGAGAGTGAATGGAATCAGGGAGAGCGTACCAATGGGGTGGCACCGGGAAAGTATGATATCGACGTCAAGTAGGGTTGGTAAACAAGGATGCTGGCTCCGTCTGCCACTGCCGCGGATGGACGCACCCAAAGGCTGACAGAGATCGCCTTGGCCACGGCGACCCTCTGAAACACTTTCTGGGTCATTTCTGCGAGTGGTCGACACAATTGTGTTGATTAAGCTTCTGATTATTACGGAGTTAATTAACATGGTGTGTGGCAGGTACGCACTCATTGATCCAGCCGCGGAGAAAAGACAATCGCCAGACAGGCACCCGGTGGACGTGATGCTGGGTCCGCTCAGCTTGCCCGCTGCAAAAGTTACAGAGATCAGTTAGTTAATGGTTTCCCGCACCACAACTCTGCTACGCACGTCCTACAATGTTGGGGCAGTAGCCGCTCAGCCCCTCCACGGTTTGGTTTGTCGCTCCTGTGTTATTTGTTAGTTCCTTGCATTTGCAAGAGAGGAGGGAGAGGGGGTTAGGTACCATCAAAGCTGTAGTAAGCTACCAGAGTTGATTGCACAGGGCAAGGTGCGCAGGTCCACACAACAAAAAACACCAACACCAAAGAGAGTGGTGTGCGGCTTACACGCATGGCTGACTCAGAACAAACACAACAAGCACTTGCGAGTGAACCTCCCTTGTTGGACTTGGCAAGAGAGTATTCCGGTCTCGGGGCAAAAGCGAAGAACGTTGGCAAACATCTCCGATTCCGGTTGGTCTTGACATAAGCCAGTAGGAACAAGCGCTCTCGCGTCAAACTCGCCCGATTGGCGAGGCAAGTTTTGTCGGAATGTTCCGGAGCTCCGCCCTAGGGTTCCATCTTGTGTGTCGTTGTTGTGTCAAGGAGCCAAGGGGGCTCCCGCGGAGTTTGGTTGGCAGCTCACGATGTATCAGGAAGGACTGAACATTTAAAAAGCGCAACAAAGCCAAAAAAGGAGAATGTGGAGTTTCTGTCTAAAACCAGAAACGTGTGCCATATCACCTGGTGAGCCTTGCTCTCATGGCCAAGAACAAGGTGCTTCTGCATCCCTGCTTCTACAGTTTCCTCATAACCAGGATAGACTTACCAGCCACTCCTGACTAAGAGCCAGGTCAAGGGCCAAGTGCATTTGTTGGCTCAAGGGCAAGACCAAGGTTTTTTGGAGTGGCTGGAGGAAGGGGAGGGCTGGCCAGGCATGGGGTGTGTGGCCAGTCAAGTTGGCTTCAACAGCATTAATGCTGCTCCCTCTGGCTGCCACCCCTAGTGAGACCACCAAGAGAGCAATAAAAAGGCTGGTGTGTTTTGTATGCAGCAGTCCACACCTGGCCAAAGCCTGCCCCAAGAAGTTTGGGAACAGCAAACAGAGGCTACCAGCTCACATCAGCAATGAGGAGCAGCTCATTGCTGATGTGAGGAGATTCAACCCAGGCCTGGTACCACAGACAGTGCCCTTCCCCAGTGTGCTGAGGTTCTGGGGCTGGCCCACTGACAGGTTCAATCAACCCATTGCCAAGGCAGTGTGGATTCAGACTGATGCCAGTGGCTGTGGCTGGGGCAACTGAGTACCTGAGATGTGTGAGAAGGCCAGAGGGAGCTTCATGGGGGTGTAGACCAACTGGCCTATCCACTGCACAGAGCTGTTGGCAGCTGTACTAGCACTCAACATCTTCTGCCCCAAGTTCCTAAATCAATTGATGACAAGACCATGGCTGTGGTGTACCTGTGTGATGGTGGTGGAAGTGATCAGGAGTTAATCCAGAGGCTGGCACCATGCTCCCAGTGATCAAAACTTCAAGCTCCTAGGGAGCGTTCATTGGGGCACTACAATCAACTCTCCGCTGAGGGCTCACAAAAACACAGTTGCGTCTTGATTATGATTTTTTATACTCGTTCGAGCGGCGATGCCGGCTCCTTGTCCAATAGGTTCCGCAGCTCCCGCACAATGTCTTCGCCTTCATCGCCATCATCGCTGGCAGCACGGAGGTGGGCCTCCACGCCGGCAAGGTTGGCCTCCAAAAACGCCCGCAGCTTGATGAGTGCATCGTTGCGCACTCGTGCCGGCACCTAATACACGCTGCGGTGAGCCAAGAAATGAAAACGAACAAAGCAGCCAGGAGAGAAAAAGAGAAATCCATACGGCGAGGTCGGTGAGCTTGCCGTGGTCGGGGTGGTCCACGATCTGATCGTAGAAGCGACCAAGGGCGGGCTTGTTGGACACGATGAACGCGTTGAGCCGCTCCATATACGCCTTATAAAAATGGGAGCAACTGAGTCAGGCCAGATGCAAGCCGACAGAGGGATGATTGCCGATGATTCAGTACCTCTTTGGCGCCGGGCAGAGTGTCGTTGGCCAAGTTCTGGAGCACCTTGGTCACCAGGATCAACTGCCGCTGCGCCATCTGTCCATCATCAGGCAACAACCCACACACCAACTGAGTGAGCATCATAAGCGCACGAGCAGCTGGAGGGGGAAACTCTTTACGGGGTGAGGCGGCTCATCGAGGAGGCCATGGAGCTGGGGCGCAAGGAGGGCCGGGCAGATGAGGCGCAGGAAGAAGAACCCGCCCATGGCCCGGAATACTGCCTCGTCGCTGAACTTCTCTGTCACCTGTGTGTCCGTGAACCTGTGAGCCCAATCCATGCCGAGTGCAACTTAAATCAAAGGAGGCCAAAAAGGGCGTACGTCATCGTGAATGCGGCGGATGAGCAGGCGCAGCTCCTGCGGCAGGAGCTTCTCGCTCTGCAAGATGAGCTTGAGCATTTTCTGAGCGGTGAGCCAGAGCTCGAGAGTGTTGATGTCCAGATCTGACGCCTCGTCCAGTTTCTGCCGTGACAGGGTGTAGTATGGGCCAGGGGTCAGATGTGCAAGTACTCAGCCGAGATAAAGTTCTGGTGTTATAAACCTGAGGGTCAAGCTCCATGGATGATGCTCCCAGGATGTCCATCGACATTGAATCACTCCCTTCGGCTTCTGGATCAATGTCACGGTCAACCTTGTACTTGTTGCCAAACACGCGAGAGCTGCTGTAAGACGACGAAGACGATGCGTCTTTGGCTCCTGCAATGTCTTGGCGTCAGTCACCATTGTCATGATTGGACACTTCATCAACAGGTCAGGATAGGGTACGCACTGTGGTCGTTGTCGACGGCGTTGTCGTTGAGCGCGTGGAGCGACAGCACCAACACGTGCCACAGATACTTGAGCGCGATCTGTTTCATGTAGAGGGTGAAGAGCTTGGCCGCCGCGCTGTTGGACCGGAACAGTGTGCCCTCCTCGTCGGCCGATGCCACCTCGAGAGTGATGGTGCGCGCGATGAAGTTGTAGGCCTGGAACTGGCCTGCCAGCACTCGCAGCAGCGCCCGGTATACCTGTGCCCGGTACAGTCAAGTGAGCAATCTCGGGGTGAGCCATTAGGGGCGAAGGCTTGGGGGGGGGGCGTACAGCGTCTCGCTCGCCAATGCTGGCAACTTCGCAGATGGCGAGGGCGAGTCGATGGTCTGGATTGGCCAGCAGCTGTTCCAGTTGCCGATACTCCTGGTGCGCCGCCAAAGACCAATCGCAACACTCGCAGTGAGTGGTGCGTCCAATCAGAGTTTGTATCATGGTTGTGGCATATCGATTACCTCGGCCTGCTTCTTGGGCAGGGTGACGTCGCCCTTGACGTCGCCGAACGCCACCTCCTCGTAGTCCGGCTGCCTGAGCTTATGGTAGGCTGCCTTCCGCCGTCGGGTGGCCACCAACGCTACAGCGATCACCAGGAGCAGCAAGAGGCACGCGAGCAGGCCTCCGCCCACGCCCCCAACAATGCCTCCAATCAGCGCTGCATCGTCCGACCCCGAATCGCCGCCACTGTGACCCGCCGAGCGGTAGTCAGCCAAGGCAAAGTGTAGATGTCGAAGTGTGGAGTGCAGTGTACGTGGTGGGCAGGGCCGATCCGATCACGACGGTGAAGTTGTTGGTGAACGTGGTGCCGCCAGTGGTGTAGAGCAGACACCTGACCGTGGAGCCGTCCCATTCGTCGGTCCCGTTGACAAGCAGCGTGCTGAACGTGGCGCCAGGGATCGTAACGAAGTCCTGTAGTTGTTTCACGGTGAGACCCCAGGTACTGTTCTCCATGAATCCGGGGAGATTTACCTCGACTTGGACTTCCACCCGAGCCACCATCACTCCTCGTGCCACCAACATCGAATAGTGAATGTCAGACGGATGCTCCTGCAGCAACTCGCTGTAGAGGCTGCGTGTGGCCAGCGAGGTCTGGTTGACAGTGACATTCGCCAGCATCTGCCACTGGTACAAAGGAGGCGGCAAGCTCCTGCCCTCCACAGAGATCGCATAGTCCACTGCCCCAGCTGTGACCCCCACGTGCAGTGAGTTACGTCATTAAGGACAGGAGTCGAGCGCATAGAAAGTCGAACCTGGAACTTGGACGACAGAGGCTGGTTGCCGAAGAAGTATGGGCTTGCTAGCCGACGCACTCAGTGCCAGTGTCATCTCGCGGGCAATCTCACCGTCGGACACGCACAACTTCAACTGTGGTGCGTCATTCTCAGGTCAGTCAGGGCGTGTGTGACATGTCATTTAGGTTAGGGGTGTTTACCGTGGCGGAGCTGACATCATTGAAGGACATCTGCGTGCTCCTCGACCTTGGTGAGGTGATCGTGATGCCGCCGCAGGTGGTGCTGAGGGCCTGCCATGTGTAACCGAACCCGTCGGCGTATCCGATGCCCTGCGGAGCGCCAGAGAAGGCCTTGCCGGAGTCGTTCACCACCGCTGTCAGGGTGACATTTTGGTAGGCTGGCACAGTATACGACGTTGCTGACAAGATGGTTCCATCGACCTCTGCGCCATTAATGATCAATGCTGTTAGTTGTGTGTACCGGTGATCAGGCGCCAAAATTTAATGCGTACCAAACTGCGAGGTTGGCACATCGTTGGCTGTGGCTGCGGAGCTACTGAGGAGCGCAAGCTCAATTGGGCTGAGGGCGTGATCGTAAATTTTAAGCTGTTGGGTTGGAGTGTGGCGTAAGGTGGTGAGCAGCTTCGTGCACCAAGTGTCAATTTGTTGGGAGGAACGAAGATCCAACAGCGAACCTCATCAATGGTGCCCTTCCAACTTGATTGCGCGGCGTTGTAGTTGGAACCTACATCCAAGCCAGCTTCAGAGTCCGATAGTGTCACCCCAGGCTGCGCCATGCAATTCTGATCAAGTTGTTGCAATCGAGTGAGCGATTACTGCAGCAGTGTGGGAAGGAGCAGATTGAAGGTGGGTGTGGTACCGAGGCGAGGGTGTTGTTGACGTGGATGCACAGCTTCTCACCGTCATAAATGAACGCCAGGTGATAACTCTCACTGGGCTGCAGAGTGATGTTTGCAAACACCACGGAACTGGCTTGGATGGAGTGAAAGAGTAAAAACGTTATCTGCAGGGCCGCATCTTAGTCAATGCCGCATAAGCGAAGTCCCAAAGGTAAGCGGAGTAGGGAGCGCATACCTGTGAGGGGTACAGGCCTCCTGGTAGATACATTATCTGAACCAAGTTGGGTTGGAAGAGAATGTAGGTTGCTTTGTCCGCCACTGCCGCTGATGGTCGCACCCAAAGGCTGAAAGATATCACATTGGCCACGGTGACCCTCTGAAACATCTTCTGCTTCACCCCTGGGACATTATAGTGCCAGTTGTCAAAACGTTAAAATACGACTTTCGGAGTTAAACGAGCTGGGCTGGTACGCATTGATCCGGTGGCGGGGACAAGGCAGTCACCGGACATGCACCCTATCGACGTGATGCTGGGTCCTGTCATCTGACCGGCTGCAAAGGTTGGAGAAATGCCACGTTAGAAGTGCTGGTCTGTTTAGCGCTCACCGTATCTTGGTGGCTTGACAAGATCAACATACGGCTCGCAACACTGGGGCAGTAGCCACTCAGCCCTTCCACAGTTGCGTTTGTAGCTCCTGCAGCACGCAAACAGTTAAGGAGTTGCCATAAACAGAGGGAAGGAGGAGGGAGAGATACCATCAAAGCTGTAGTAGGCGACAAGAGTCGATCGCACAGGATACGGTCCGCAGACCCACAGGACAGCAAGCGCCAACCAGACAAACGTGAGTGCTGTGACACGCATGACTTGCTGGATGTTAGAGATATTAATAAGCAAGCACGAACACTTGCAAGGATCGGGACCTTGCACTTGGTGAGCGAAGTATCTTCGCCGTTATGCAAAACTCCTTCGGGTTCGGGCAACTAGACAAGAGGAAGAAGACAGAGAAGAAGAGAATAAACTCCGATTTTCTGCTGCCACGGCTAAAGCCAATCGGAAGCAAGTAATTACTTAATACTCTTCCACTTCTTCCGTCACATGAGGATGTTGTTGCCTTCATACTCGCTCAATCGGCGACACCGGTTCCTTGTCCAGAATGTCGCGCAGCTCTTGCACCACATCATCACCCTCGTCGTCATCGCCCTGGTCGCGAAGGCGGGCCTCCACGCCGGCCAGGTTGGCCTCCAAAAACGCCCGCAGCTTGATGAGTGCGTCGTTGCGCACTCGTGCCGGCACCTAGCAGAATACCGAGCGGTGAGAAGAAAATGGATGGAAAGAATGTGGTTGGGGAAGAAGGCCGCACAGTGAGGTCAGTGAGCTTGCCGTGGTCGGGGTGGTCTACGATCTGATCGTAGAAGCGACCGAGGGCGGGCTTATTGGACACGATGAACGCGTTGAGCCGCTCCATGTATGCCTGTGTAGGAGCAATAACGCTCGATGAGTTTTGTGCTTCGAGGACAGTATTGCAGGTCTGATACCTCCTTGGCGCCGGGCAGGGTGTCGTTGGCCAGGTTCTGGAGCACCTTGGTCACCAGAATCAGCTGCCGCTGCGCCATCTGTCCTCACCACCACAACCCCGCGCCCACGCGTTGATGCGGCCAACAATATTTGGTGAGTGAACAGCTGGTCATACGCGCAGGAAGTTGAAGGTACGGGGTGAGGTGGCTCGTCGAGAAGGCCGTGCAGCTGGGGCGCAAGAAGTGCCGGACAGATGAGGCGAAGGAAGAAGAACCGCCCATGGCCCTGAACACGGCCTCGTCGCTGAACTTCTCCGCCACCTGTTTGTCCGCGCTCGCATTTGTGAGCCTCGCCAACAATCAGGGTACCAAGCAAACAAAGACGTACGTCATCGTGAATGCGGCGGATGAGCAGGCGCAGCTCCTGCGGCAGGATCTTCTCGCTCTGCATGATGAGTTTGAACATCTTCTGAGCGGTGAGCCAGAGCTCGAGCGTGTTGATGTCCAGGTCCGACGCCTCGTCCAGTTTCTGCCATGTGCACGCATTCCCCCTGGGTAAGCCACAGCAATAACGCAAAACGTAGCCTGCGACCAATCGAACCTGAGGGTCGAGCTCCATTGATGACGCGCCCAGGATGTCCATCGACACGGCACTGCTCTCTTCGCCGTCAGCGTCATCCCGATCGATTCGATACGTGTGCCCAAAGATGCGGGAACTTGATGATGACGCTGATGGTGCCCCTTGATTGTTTCCTGCTCATCACAAAAAGTACAAACGTCAGTGTATGGAATTAGGAAAGGAGAAAGGTTGTGTGATGCGCGTACGACTGGCGGCGTTGGTGTCGACAGCGTTGTCGTGAAGCGAGCGGACCGACAGCACAAGCACGTGAAACAGATATTTGAGCCCAATCATGCGCATGTAGAGGGTGAAGAGCTTGGCCGCCGCGCTGTTGGACCGGAACAGCGTGCCCTCCTCGTCGGCCGATGCCACCTCGAGTTTGATGGTGCGCGCGATGAGGTTGTAGGCCTGGAACTGGCCTGCCAGCACTCGCAGCAGCGCCCGGTACATCTGCCATTACCTGTCGTGTGCATGAGACATCAGGCGGCATCATCAGAACCAGCAGTGATAAGGGAGGGCGTGTACCGCATCTCGTTCGCCGATGCTGGCGACCTCGCAGATGGCAAGCGCAAGCCGGTGGTCGGGATTGGCCAGCAGCTGTTCCAGTTGCCGGTAGCCCTGTGATGACGTGCATGTGAGTTGATTTCGTGGCGTACTTCCGAGTGAGTGGTGGAGATGATGTGGTTTGGGCGATACCTCGGCCTGCTTCTTGGGCAGGGTGACATCGCCCTTGACATCGCCGAACGCCACCTCTTCATAGTCTGGCTGCTTGAGCTTGCGATAGGCTGTTGCTCTCCGCCGCCGAGTGGCCATCAACACGACGGCGATAACCAGAAGCAGCAAGAGGCACAAGAGCAGGCCTCCTCCCACGCCTCCGACAATGCCTCCGATAAGCGCCGCATCTGAGTCTCCTCCACTATGCACGTTCAATCAGTTTCCACAACACGGGGACACATATGTGAGAGAAAGAGCGTACGTGGAGGAAGGAATGGCTTCACTGATCACAACGGTGAAGTTGTTGGTGAACGTGCCGCCTCCGGTGGTGTAGACCAGACACCGGATGACGGACCCGTCCCACTCTTCCGTGCCGTTGACAAGTAACGTGCCGTAGGTGGCCCCCGGAATCGAGCGGAACTCCTGTTTTTCTCCGTAAGTGAACACAGAAAAGATGGTCTGAGCAGGTGCGCTACGTGCCTCAACTTCAACCTCCTCTCGTGCCATCATCAAGCCTCTTGACGCAAACATCGCTGTGCGCATGCCCAGCGACTCTTCCTGGAAGATGAGTGAGTCTTTTTGCGGAGTGGCCTGCATTCGTTGTGGTGCGCACCAAATAGCTGGAATGGTAATCAACACCACGCGTCGTGAGGTTGCCCACGTCTGACGTCCGGTTGACGGTTACGTTGACCAACTGTTGCCACTGGTACGACGGCGGCGGCAAGCTAGAACCCTCCACGGAAATGGCAAAGTCCACCGTCCCAGCTGTGACCACCCATCAACTAATTAGTGCTTCACGGAGCCAACAAACAGGCTTTCCTTGACTGGGCACACAACGTACCAGGAACCTGGATGGTGGAAGTAGATGGCTGCCTGATCAGCTGGGGTGTGCTTGCTGAGGCACTGAGCGACAGGATGGTCTCACGGGCGATCTCACCATCTGACACGCACAGCTTCAACTGTTTACGCGCGTGGAATGGATGGGTGAGAACAAGTGGCCTGACCAAATCTCTAAAGCAAAGAAGTGGGTAGGTCACCGTGGAGGTGCCGACGTCTTCTAGCACCATCTGCGTGCTCATTAATGTCGGCGACTTGATCATAACGCCACCGCAGGTGTCGCTGAGGGCCTGCCATTTGTAGGTGAAGCCGGCAGCGTAGCCGCTGCCCTGAGGGGCGCCAGAGAAGGCCTTGAAGGAGTCGTTCACCACTGCCGTCATGGTGAAGTTACTGAAGACCTGTGCGGTGTATGAGCTCCCGTATTCATTGCCACCGACCTCTGCAAGCCAGGAGTTAGATCAGCACAACGCACATCCCGAGAAGCATTCAATCGCACCAAATCGCACAGACGGTGCATCGTTGGGGCCCGCAGTGCTGCTCAGAAGCGCAAGCTCTGCCGAGCTGAGGGCGTGATCGTAAATCTTCAACTGGAGCGCAATTGACGTAATTGGTGAGTGAATGCCCGAACAATAGTGAGAGAGCATTGGCGAAAGCGATAAACCTCATCAATGGTGCCTGGCCAACGAAACTCCGGTTGGCCGGGGGCAGACCCGACGTTCATGGTTGCCCATTCATCTGAAAAGGTCTTTGCCCCCCACTCTTTGCAGCCCTGGAAGAGAAGTGATGTTCGCTTGAGGGGTGCTCGTGATCACAAAAGAGCAAGAATCAGTACGTACCGAGGCGAGAGTGTGGTTGACATACACACATATGTCCAAGCCGTTGTAGACGCAAGCAATGTGGTAGTTGATATCAGGTTGCAGAGTGACTTCTGCCGTTGCCTGGGCACCCTCTTTGGTGCTCGACACGAGCGTGCACGCCACCTGTCAAAGGCCGCGAGCCAGAGAGATGAGGTCGACACAAAACACGGCACATGATACAACACTTACACGACGCACATGCACGCGCACACTGGGGCAAGCTTCTTGAGCCCTTGTGCCTATCACCTACCACATCCCTTCCCCCTTCCCCTCCTCCAGGAACGTAGAGCACTCCGACCAACTCGCGCTTCGAGAGGATGTAGACGAAGTTGTTTGTTCCGGTCCGCCGCACCCACAAGCTGAACGAAACGGAGTTTGCCGAGGCGCCTCGGCCTTGGAAAAGCTGTTGTGTCAGCTCTGCGAGGGTCACGATCCACTTAATTAATTGGGGGCGAAGAAAGTGTGGCAGAAGAAGGGTGCGGGTACGCATCGATCCATCTGAGCCGGGGTCGAGGCAGTCACCGTACTTACACTGCCCCGAAATGATTGTGGCCGTGCCGCTCAGAGTGCCAGCTGCGGAGAAACGTGTGTAAGTGCTCCGTCGCTGGCCTTTCAAGTGTATTAACTTCTGCTACGTACGACTAACCACGTTAGGGCAGTAGCCGCTCAGCCCCTCCACTAGGCCAACCGAAGCACCTACTCTCGCGGGATGTTGAGTCGCGGCGCTAAAAAGCGGGGAAGAAGAGGGAGGTACTGCCGCACCATCAAAACTGTAATAGGCCACCAGGGTGGGTCGCACGGCAGCTGGCCCACAAGTCCAAAGGAGAACCAAGGCCAAGGCGAACTTGGTGAGGAGCGGCATGCCGCTCATAGAAGACACCTCCCAATTCTTATTAGGTCGTTAGTTAGTGATCGTGGTACGCGTTGTGCCCCCTCTGCGCCCTTCGGGGAAGGCCGACAAATCGGAGTACACCGGGAAATGGCCTCATTTACTCCCGATTCTTCTGTCGACTGCGCCTGCGTCACACTTGGTCGATGGCGGACGACTCCTTGTGCAGAATACGTCGCAGCTCCAGCACAACTTCTTCGCTCTCGTCGCTGTCATCGCCATGGGCGCGGAGGTGGGCCTCCACGCCAGCCAGGTTGGCCTCCAAAAATGTGCGCAGCTTGATGAGTGCATCGTTGCGAGCGCGTGCTGGCACCTAGTGGTTGGTTGAAGAGTTAGGTGGATTGCGCCAGGATTGGATCCAGTGAAAGCGTACGGTGATGTCGGTGAGCTTGCCGCGCTCCGGGTGGTCCACGATCTGGTCGTAGAAGCGACTGAGGGCGGGCTTGTTGGACACAATGAACGCGTTGAGCCGCTCCATGTACGCCTGTGTATGGTAGAGGTACACCTTTGAATCAGTTCCGGTGCAAAAGCAAGGCCACATCCAAGATGATGAGGGTGGTACCTCTTTAGCTCCGGGCAGGGTGTCGTTGGCCAGGTTTTGGAGCACCTTGGTCACCAGAATCAGCTGCCGCTGCGCCATCTGTACCCACCACCACAAACCGCGCCAAGTCAGTCAATCCGCGTGTTGAGTGACTACCAACCATCAAGAGCGCAAGCTTTTGGGTGGAAGGTACGGGATGAGGCGGCTCGTCGAGGAGGCCGTGAACTTGAGGCGCAAGGAGGGCCGGGCAGATGAGGCGCAGGAAGAAGAATCCGCCCATGGCCCGGAACACGGCCTCATCGCTGAACTTCTCCGCCACCTGTGCCCACAGCATTAGCAGGCTATACTCAACCGATTGGGACGAAGACAGGCCAGGCGTACGTCATCGCGGATGCGGCGGATGAGCATGCGCAGTTCTCGCGGCAGGCTCTTTTCGCTCTGCACGATGAGTTTGAACATCTTCTGAGCGGTGAGCCAGAGCTCGAGAGTGTTGATGTCCAGGTCCGACGCCTCGTCCAGTTTCTGCCGCGTGGAATGTGGTTAGCCAAGAACTACGTGCGAACCAAGGTTGGTGGTGGACGCGGCAAACGGCCACGCCGAAGGTGAACCTGAGGATCGAGTTCCATCGATGAGGCGCCCGGAATGTCCAGCGATACTGAGCCTTCATCAGAGTCAGAGTCGTCCCGTTCCACTCGGTACTTGTTTCCGAAGACCTTCGACCGGCTGCTGCTGGCTCCGTGGGAGCTTCCGGCATCCCGGGAACGACCCGCGTCGGCATCGCGAGCGTTGTCATTCAGGGAATGCAATGACAGCACCAAGACGTGCCACGTGTACTTGAGCGCGATCATGCGCATGTATAGGGTGAAGAGCTTGGCCGCCGCGCTGTTGGACCGGAACAGCGTGCCCTCTTCGTCGGCGATGCTCACCTCGCGCGTGATGGAGTGCGCAACGAGATTGTAGGCCTGGAACTGATCTGCCAGCACCCGCAGCACCGCTTTGTACACCTGTGTGGAGCCAACACACAGGGATATTAGTTACTCGGTTAGGGTGAGAGATTGAGCGTTCGTACGGTGTCTTTATCGCTCATATCTGCCACATCACAAATGGCCAGGGCCAGCCGATGGTCTGGCGCAGTAAGCAGGTGTTCCAGTTGCCGGTACTCCTGTTGGAGTGGTCAGTGAGCAACGACTGCTGGTGCTAAGGAGAGTAAGGGGACCAACCTCCGCCTGCTTCTTCGGCAGCGCGACGTCCTCTTTAACGTCTCCGAAGGCGATTGCCTCGTAGTCCGGCTGCGTGAGCTTGCGGTACGCGGAGCGACGGCGCCTCGAAACAGCCACGATCGCGAGAAGCAGAAGGAGAAGACAGAGCAAGAAGAGCGCTCCGCCCACGCCTCCCACGACTCCGCCAATAAGTGTAGCGTCCGATGACCCGTCCCTGTGGAGGTGGTGGTAGCCTTCGGTCAGCTCACCTGGCGTATGTTAGCTGCAAGCAAAGGTGCAGAGGCTCCGTACGATGTGGACGCGGAGGAGATGAAGATGGTGAAGTTGTTGGTCGGGGTAGAGCTGCGTGTGGTAAACACCAAGCATCGGATGACCGCACCATGCCAGTCCTTTGTGCCGTTGAGATGCAGAGTGTTCTCCGTGGCTCCAGGGATGGATTGGAAGGCCTGCGTAGGACTGTGTGGGGAGCTGTCGGGTGTTGATGACTTCCATCAAACGAAGGCGGCGTACCAAAATGGGCTCTTCCTGTCTCTTTTCTCTCAATCTCTCTTTGAGAGCGGCCATAACCGGCAGGCCGGCCTCCTGCGCGCATATGACACGGTGCATTCCTCAGCGTCAATGTCGCGCAGCAGTGTCACTTGTTTGTACACACCTCGCCACCCATGTAAAAGCGGGCAGAAATGTTGCCGATGTTGGTGTCGTTATGCACTACGGGCGCCAGTCTTTCCCACTGGTACGACGGTGGCGGCAGGCTCATGCCCTCCACCGTGATTGGATAATCAATGACACCCTCTGATTTGTACAAGACACATGGTCAGCGACACTACAGAAACAGGGAGTGACCGGTGTGATGGAGTTACCAGGGATATTGATCTCACTGGTCAGTGGCTGGGAGACAAGCTGGGGAACGCTGGCTCCGGCCGCAGTATACAGGTTGAACTCGCCGGCAATCTCGCCATCTGAAACGCAGACCTTCATCTGTACCGGCAAGCCTTGTCAGTGCATGTGCTGACAGAGACCCCAAGGGTGCGTGGGTAAGGAGTACTGTGGATGCGCCGAGTGCGGAGAAGGCGACGTTGGTAGTCTGGTTGGCTGGCGCACTGAACTGCATGCCACCGCAGTTGCTGCTCAAAACGGTCCACTGGTAGAGCATCTCGCCTTCATACCCAACGGTTTGTGCGGAGCCAGAGTAGGCCTTGCGGGCGTCTTGCACCACCGTCGTCAGGGTGACGTTGGTCAGGGAGTCCACGTTGAGCGAGCTCAAAGCTGTGCCGTTGCTCTCTGGAGTGTTGCCCGTCAAGAGAAATCAATGAGCAAAGGGGGTAGGTTGCCCTTGCTATAGTCACATACCGATGTGCACGGAGGGCACGTCATTGGGTTCAACAAAGTTTACGAGTTGGCTAACCTCCTGCGGTGTGAGCCCGTGGTCATAGAGCTTGATCTGATTGCAATTGTGATCAGCTAACAACACAAATGCGATGTTGCGAATCAAGGGATGCCTACCTCGTCGACCGTGCCATTCCACCTCGAGGAAGCACCCACGCCGCCAAAGAACAGAAGACCTCCCTCCGAAAACGGCCCCTTGCCCGCAGTGCACTCCTTCCATTTGAGAAGTGCGATTAGCTTGCGCCGCTTGGGCATCGCAGGGTGGTGTTGTTGTACCGTCACGTTTCCGTTGATATGGACGCACAGCTTGGTGCCGTCGTGCGCGCATGCCACGTGGTAGGTGGTGTCGTGCGATAAGGCCATGATGACGCTTGTTGTGGAAAAGACCTTGGTGCTGGATATGATCACGCATGTAAACGCCTGGCCAGTCAGAGCAAGTGTGAGTTGTGGTTGGCCCACTACTCGTGGAGAAACAGTGAGCTTAATTTAATTTGAAGGTTTGTACCCCGTCGAGATAGACGAAGTAGAACCAGTCCGACTTGTAGACGATGTAGCCACCAAGTGGTCCTGTGGACGCGGTCCTTGCCCAGGCGCTCACCGAGACCTGCGATGCGTCCGAGTACTGGAAGAGCTTGAACGTCGTGAGCACTGCGTGCCAAATATTGCGATTGGAGTGTTGTGCAACTCCGGTGCATTAGTGAACCCACGACATATCGACGTGTGCAGAAAAGGAGACGCACAGGCGAAGCCTGCATCTGCTTGAAGGCACCCACCAGCCAGACAGCTGTCGTTGACCACCTTTGCTCCGCCGGCAAGTGTCGGTTCTGGTTTGGTCGAGGTTGTTAGTAGTGAAGACAAGGGCGAATCAGCTGAGGTGCTACTTACGAAGCACGACGTTGGGGCAGTAGCCACTCACTCCTGCCAACGGGGCATCGGCTGATAGATTAAAAGAGTTACTAACAGGAGTGCTGAAGCATCTTGCAGGCTAAGCGATCAACGTACGATCATCAAAGCTGTAGTAAGCCACCAAGGCTGAGCGTACCGGCCAGCCAAGGCCTGCAAGAAGCAGAACCACAACGACAACACTCGCCAAACGCGACATCTGACGGGTTAGAAAGTGCGTGTCTTCTTCGTGTGGTGGTTTTCCGTGCTGCCATGGTGCTAACTCCGAGCAACCAACCACCAAGTAGCAGGTTTGATATGGCCGCGTCAAGCAAAAATGGCCACTCTGTCGGGGAGCCCTAAGCATCTGCCGCACGTTGTGCAGCAAGAGCAAGATCATTTCCAGAATTCCTTGGCTATAGCAGTACGAGAAAGTTGCGATTGGCGGCTTCGTAGTATTTTCTTTATATTATTTGTTTTTATATTATTTATCCCCACAGGAGGATGAGGCACCTTGTTGGCCTCGTGTTCCTTTGCGTTCTGTTCAGCTCCGTGCGCTTTCATGGTGGTACTTGCCCCTTTCCCTCCCCCCCCCGCCTATTTTTCTTCGCTTCGTCTTGGGGGGGAGCAGTGACAGTGAGTTTCTCACCGCATGTGCTCCTCAGCTGCGGGGACAGGAATACAGATTGTCAACACTCTCAACCTCGCCGACTACGGGAGCCGGTGGATATCCGTTTCAGTGTTTGGCGCTGTGTACTCGTTCCTCAGCGAACGTATTCTATGGTGGGGCAGCGCGGACAGCAGCGGACTTGGCATTTACGGAGCTAGGGTGCGTGTTAGCCTGCGCGGGAGTCCTTTTCGTTCTTTCTTGACGCGGTTCTTTCTTGGTCGTCATACAGATACCGCCGCAGTACGCTCCGAACTTGGCCGTGATCGTGGGCTTTGGCCTCAACACCCAGACGGGCCAGAATGTCGCCGAACTGTACACATACTCCAACGTCACCAGCACCGTCGTACGCACTTTCACCGCACGCGCACGCATGGCCTCTCTTCGCCCCCCCCCCGAGAACAAGCTGACCACCAGCAATCCCTTCCATATACCCGCAGAGCTTCGCAGTGTTCACTTTGAACACAGGCCAGTGGACCACGCCCAATCAGGTCTCCGTTCCCGTCAGGGACTACCAATACCTCGTCCCCGACACCGACAATTTGAACACTCGCCGCAGCCTGTTCCTCATCTCTCTCAATCACATCGTTTACATTGAGTACGCCTTCCACACCACCCCGCAAGGCCTGGTGCCATGCCCTCTCACACCTCCCTTCTACACTCGCAGTATTCCAACGTTCACCATCGTTGCAGAGCTGGACCTGAGCCAGCAGTTCGTGAATCAGTACCCAGTGACTCTTATTGCTGGCGCCACCTACTACAAGGGCAATTTGTTCATCGCCAGGTTCACGCACACGCACACGCACACGCACACGCACACGCACACGCACACGCACACGCACACGCACACGCACACACCACACAACACCACACACCACGTACCATACCTGTCCACTCACAGTTGGTCCCCGTCATGAACAAACAGAACGGCATCGTTGAATGGTAAGAATCTGGCACAAATTGTGGACGTTCATGTGGAGAACGACTTCAACTTTCACTCGCTGTACTCAAGAACCCTTCTCCCTTTGTCTGCTCGCCCGTTTAGCTGACGCGTTCGTATGCGGTGTGCTGTGTTGTGTGCGCATTCATGACTCCAGGTCGTTCAGCCACGTGGTGTACCTGGACTCCGATTGCGATAACATGTTTGGCTGGGGCAACTACCTGTTCTGGCCACAGGTTCGCCTACGATACACCTGGCAGCAGACTCTTGTGGCTCTGTACTCACTCGCACGCGTTTACTTTGGTGCATCCTGCAGTTGCGCAATAGCAACGGAACACTCTACGGCTGGAGCCTGCAGGATAGGAATCTCATTTTCGCGTCTGTGGGCCTCGGCCCGGGCACCATCTGGGGCAAAGCTGTCGGCGCCAACCAAATCACAAGTACGTAGACGCCAGCAGACCCCAACACACCGTTGAACTTACTGCACCACCCACAACAGATCAGGCCATGCTGGTGAGCGGCAACCCTTCAGGTGGTGGCTACACAGCGTGGGTGGCCGTTCACGACGATCAGAGAGCTACATTCATAGACTCACGCCCGATACCCGCCGACCAGCTGCCCACTCTCGGTACCGCTGTCCGCGCATTTGAGCCTCCTCCGCTCATCGTTCACCAATTCTGCACCCGGTGTGGCGGCACAGGCATCCAAACGATCGACATGAACGGACAAGACGACCCGCAATTGTCGGTGCTGCTGGCCGGGCACAACGCCACCGGGTTCGGCAAGATCACCTGGCTCCGCTACACGAGCTAGGCCAATGCCAATGGACCGAACGATCCAGACAAATTCCCTTTCACGTTCCCTTTCTTCGAAACGAAGTCAGCATTTTCCTGGTATTTTCTTTTTATCTTTTTTCGGGTCCCCGACAGTCTGTCTGCTGCTCGAGGAGAAGAACGTTCGCCTTTGGTGAAGATGACATCACCCCAATTCTCTTCTTTTTCCACACCAGCTGGTATAAAAACCACTATAGGGTCATGCTGAAAGTCATTGCCATCAGTGCATCGACAACAGCAGTCAGAATAAACTGAACCTCACGCCGCAAGACCCACAACAGCAAGACCCTCATCGACGATACTAGAAGATGATGATGAAGACCGCCACTGCCCACACCCACGACGCTTCCGGCCTCAAGTCACCGCAAGACCCTCACCTGCAAGACCACACCGGTGGCTTCCGGCTGCTGCCCGTTTCGCCACAGACCTACGTCCAGCTCTCCGGCAAGCAGGGCGACGGCGATGGCGTGACCATGCTCGAGATCAAATCCTCGCACAAGCTCTTCGGCGTCATCTCGCGCTACATCTCGCTCCACGGCAACAAGACCTCGGACCACTCTCACAGCTGGCTCCTCGCCGACGGCACCGTCAAGCGGTCAAACCCCTCGTCCTACAGCGACGACGAGGGCGATGACGACGACGGCCTCGCCGACACCAAAGGCGACGCGACCAAGGAGGTCTCCGAGCTTCGTCTGGGCCTGGGCCTCCATGAGGTCACCTTCCAGGGCCGCCTGATCCGTCTGGTCCACCAGGCCATCGGCCAGCCTGTCGGGGGTCCGTGCGGAGTGAGCCTCTACACGTCGATGGTGCTGTCGGTGCCGGGCGAGGGCCAACAGGCGCTCCTGTCGGCCTTCTGCGACCACGTGCTCGACTGGGACTGCGAGAAGGACGACAAACGGTACAACATCTACATGTGGAAGCCGCAGCACATGTACTGGAACAAGGTGGCGACGAAGCGGGTGCGGCCCATCGACAGCGTCATTCTGCCGGCCGACGTCAAGGACGCCGTCGTGAGCGATCTGACCGATTTCGACACGCGCGAGACCGCGAGGTGGTACACTCACCACGGCATCCCCTACAAGCGCTCGATGCTCTTCTACGGGCCGCCGGGCACGGGCAAGTCGTCGTTCATCACCGCGCTGGCTGGCGAGCTGCAGCGCAACGTGTGCTTCCTCCAGCCGGCCCATCCGGCCATCACCGACGACAACCTGCAGATGTGCGTGCAGTCCGCACCGGCCAACTCGCTCATCGTCATGGAGGACGTCGACGCGCTGTTCTCGCGCGACCGCGACTCGAAGGCCGCTGGCACAGCCAACGCGCCGCTCACATTCTCGGGCCTGCTCAACGCGCTCGATGGTGTGTGCAACCCCGAGGGTCAGGTCTTCATTCTCACCACCAACCACGTGGAGCGGCTCGACCCGGCCCTGATCCGGCCCGGTCGCGTGGACCTCAAGGTGCGCTTCACCACGGCCACCAAGGCACAGGCCGCGGTCCTGTTCCAGCACTTCTACCCCGACGAGAGCGAGCTGGCCCACGAGTTTGCCGAGGTGATTGCCTCGCGTTTGCTCAACGTCAAGGACAAGAAGGCCGAGGAGGAGACGGCGGAAGCCGATGGTGAGGAAACCGCTAAGGTGGAGGAGGACGAAGGTATGGGCGTGAGCATGGCCGCTCTGCAGCAGCTGTTCATCGTGTGCCGAAAGAGCTCGCCGGCGGAAACACTCGACAAGGCTCGCTCCTTCGTTTTCTAATAACCCTACACCACCTTGTAGGCCAAGCGCTGTACAGAAAAACGTCGATTGGCCGCTTTTCATACACTTTTGCCCAACCTATCAATTTGTGGAATTTAAACACGCTATCTTCACTCCTTGGTCTTGGTGGTCGTGTTGGTAGGACCCCCGCGCAGGGAGCCCACGCCGATGAACTTCTGCACCTGCCCGGCCGTGCTGCGCAGGCTTCCGCCACGCCGCTTGATCATGATGCTCTCGAATACGTGCTGCAGTTCGTTCGTGGTCTGAGCCGAGCCTGGTGTCGCGGGCGGGGTGACGACCACGGTCTTCCTGGACGCGACGCCGTTGGTGGTGGCGGCGGCGTTGTCCGGCGGTGACACTGGTCGCAGCGCGGCGAGCGATTGCGAGGAGGGTGTTGATGGTGCTGGAGAGCCGGGTGGTGTGGTAAAGATGAGCGAACACCGCTGACTGCGCCGCGTGCTGAAGTTCTCAGTGCCGCTGGAGTTCAGCCACGACGGCATCCGTGGAGGGTCCAGCTGGGCCGATAGACTCTCCCGCTCCGACGAAAGCGATCGCTTCACCATCTGATGGCCGTTGCGGTGCTGCGGACTGAGCCTGCTGGCTGTTGGTGTTGAGTCGACCGAGACCGATGGGGTCAAACCCTTCCGCACGGCGGCCTTGTCGGACTGGATCGATAGTCCGCCGGTGCTTTGGGTCATACCGGCCGACCTGTGGGGCAGCTTGGCATCGCGGGTAGAGGTCGGCGACGAAGGCCGTCGATCGGGTAACACGGTGGAGCCCGATTCGGTGAACTTCCGCTTCAGCTCGGACACGGTGCGACTCGTCTGCGACTCTTCCTCCTGGCCGTGCGTTAGAAAAAAACGAAGATCGCTGACTGACATCGCAAGGCCGAAAGTGGTACCTCCTCCACAATCGCCGGCGTGACGAATGGGGCGAAGATGTCGTCCAACGTCTGCGCCCTCGACCGAGTGTAGTACCGCGGCGCCGATACACCCGCCCTGTTCATAAGAGCACGTCAGCCACAGGGAGTGTGAGAGGAGAGGGAAAGGGGAGAGATTCGTACTCATCGGACAGGGGTTCGGCGTCCGCAAAGTTGTCCTCGCCGTAGAGCTCCTGCAGCCACTGGACGGCCGCGTGCGGTCCGTTCAACATCACCGAGTTACGCCTCCGACGGGCGGCCAGCTCCTTCTGCTTCCGCTTGAACTCCTCGAGCGCCGCGTTCTCGTCCGACGGCACGATCGGACCCTTGCCCTTAGACACCTCCGATCGACTGCCGCCAAAGCTCAGCCTTCGCCCACCCAGCGGTGGTGGCCCTCCCGCTGATAGGGTCTTCAGCGTCGACGGAACGGTTGGCGTCGTGGTCGTCGTCGAAGTCGCCGCCGTCTCGTTCGTGGTGTCGTCCGTGGACGACTTCCTGATGTCCTGGCTGCCCGCCTTCCCTCTCGCCTTCGTCTCGTCTTTTACACTTCCCTTTACACTCTCCTCCCTCTTCTCTGTCGTTGTCTGCGCTGTCGCGGCCGTTCCACTGCCCGTTTCGTTCGTCGCTTGCGGCGCGAGCGGATCGGACGACTGACGTCTGCTGGCCCCGTCCTGCTGTTGCTTCTGCTTGTACGACAGCCGCTGCTGAGACCGAGGCTGGTCGCCTACGGCCGGTGCCGATCTCAGAGCCGCATTCTTCGCTGCCTCTGCCACTTCCCTCTCTTGTCGATGTTGGGCCGACAGCAGGAAGGTGTGCTGGTGCCGCAGCTGCGGCGGCGGCGGCTGGGCTGGCTGCGACCGCAACATCTGCAGGGCCGTACGGGCTTGGGCAGGGTCCAGCGTGGCACCGTACGGGGACACACCGTTGTGCCAGCGATGATTGGGGTCCTGGTGAGGCTGATCCCGTTGGTACTCGGCGGAACGGCGGTGCCGGGGGTGTCGTTTCTCCCTTCGCTCCTTCCTGACCTTCTTTCGCTTCTCCTTGACCGCTGGTGGCGCCTGTGCGGCCGGAGAGTCCGTAGACTGGGTGGTAGTCGTAGCTGTCGTTTCCGTCGGCATTGCTTCTCCCTCCTTCTTGTTCTTCTTCTTCTTGCTCCTCCGCTTCTCCTTGTGGTCCTCTTCGCTTTCGGTTTCATTCTTCACACTGGACCCCTTCTTGGCCGCCTTGATATTCTTCTTGTTCTTCTTCCTGATTGACTTCTCGTCGTTCGTTGTCGTGCTTTCCTCTTCGCTGCTCTTCTTCCGTCGGTGGCCCTTCTCGCCTTTCTCCTTTTCCTTCTTTTCCTTCTTCTTCGCCTTCTTCACCTTCTTCGCCTTCACTTCTTTCGACTCGTCCTTTCCATCATTCTTCGTTGCCGTCCCTTGTTTCCGCTCCTCAATCGGCTCCTCTTCGATTGTCAGCATCATCGCCGTCAGACCCGCGTCGCCGTAGAGCGGCGATATGAAGGAACCGGTGGCATCGTTGCTCTTGTTGTTGCTGCTGATGCTGATGGTGCTGCCGCTACTGATCGTACCGATCCTCTTCGATTGCTTGGCCTCCTTCTTCCCCTGGCGCCTTTCGACCAGTTCCTTCCGCTCCCTCTCGTCCGTCTCCCGCTTCTCGCGAGCGTCGCTCTCTTTCTTCCCCCGCTGCTTCTCCCTCTGTTGGCGCTCGTCTCGCTCCTTCTTCTCTTGTAGCTGCTGCTGTCGCTCCTTGTCGTTGTCCTTTTCTCGCTGCTCGCGCTCGTCCTTCTCCTTGGCCACGTCCCGACCCCGTCATCCTCGGTAGGTGCTGTCGGCACCGCTGCCATCGCCCTGGTAGCCCAGTTTCCGCTTCTTCTTGAGCGTGCCGCACTTCTTGGTCGTGCCACCTCCGTTGGCCGCCTTGTCCTCCTTGCGCTTCGGCTTTCGCTTGTGCATCTTCATGCTTCGCTGAGCGTTCCGCTCCTCGGTGATGAGCAGCATGGGGTTGGCCCGACTGCTGATGACCACGAGCACCTCCTCGCTGCTAGCCCCGCAGGCGATCGCGTCCAGGACCTCTTTCTCGCTGGCCTCCTTGGTGCTGAGCCCGCTGTCGCGCATTTCCTCCTCGGTCTCGGTCTCCGTGTGCTGGCCGACGCGTTCGCGTTCCTCATGTTCGGTGTCCGTCTCGGTGTTGAGCCTGCGCAGGCGCTCTCCCATACGCTCGTTCTTGAGCTTTAGCAGCCGACGCTGGCTCTCCGCCTCGCTCAGCTGAGCCCGCAGGTCTACCACCTCGCCGGCCAGCTCCCTGTCATACGCAAGGTCAGTGTTTTGTCGTTCATCCCGCACAGTTGCACCAACTGATGGGGTACCGAATGATGCGAATGGCTGCGACGTTGGTATGAGTGGAGTTGAAGTCCTGCTCGGGAACGGTGGGCGAAGAGGAAGGAAGCATGGGAGCGCTCTTTTTGGTCTTACTGCCCCGCATTGAGCCCACCTAGGGATACAAAGCGGTGTGAGATGTGCGGTGTACGGTTATCCAGGGATCGCAGTACCTTGAAGTTGTTGAGCACCCGCGATCTCTTAATAGACGAGGGCGACGAGGACTGTCGGGACTGCTGCACGACAGCGGCAGCTGTGATTGCAACTGCTGCGGGCTGTTATACCAGAAAAAAGGTCGATGTCAGCATAGAGAATCGCTAATCGCGTGCACGTGCTGGGGCGGTGAACATACGCTCTGTAGACCGTGGTGGTGTGTACTGAGGGGCAATGGCGTGGAGAGGTGGCCCTGCGACTGGGCGTGTAACAGCGGCGGTGGGTCCGCAGAGACCGCGGGAAAGCTGAGTGAGTTCGAATGCACCACTTGAGCAAGCGGCGATGGAGTGACAGCCGAGGGCGAGATGCTTGAAGCCGCAGGAGGACTGGAGCGATCAAAGTAGAGCGAGAGCTGCGTCAGAGCGCGGCTCCTTCTAGGCGAACCGCCGGCGAAGATCGCAGCCGGACTCGGGCTTGGAGCAGAAGAGCTTCCCTGTTGCGTAGTGCCGTTGCTGGGTCAAGAGGAAAGGTCAGCAAGAACAAATGAGCTATCAAGACCTAGGTTCAATACGTACAGCCCGTTATTGTCTGTTGCATGGTACTTGGGGTTCAGCGTCGAATTACCGCTGTTGTACATCCAACTGGAATCCGTTCCATTGGTGAGCCCGTTGGAACCAAGCACCTTGGTGTTTGGGACGGGGATGGGGACTAGGAGATCCTCCTCCTGTGACACCATGTCGGTGAGTGACGGGGTAGGACGCTTTTGAGTGAAGTAGGACGGGAGATGTACCACAAGGAGGGCGAAGAATCTGTTCAGGCTCGGTGTGTACGCCGCAACGAAGTTATTTAGGGCGGGTATAGAAAGGTACTCCTGTGAATCAAAGAGAATCAGCACCAGCATTGGACTCGTACATGATGAATGTTGGTCTCGAAGTACCTCCTTCACGCCAAACTCGGCTCCCGTTGACACTGTCTGGAGTAACTTGGATAGCAAAATTAAGGAACGGCTGGCGATAGGAGACGGTTGTTCTGTAGGGACCAAGCATACGTTGAGCGGATGACTACACACAAGAATGAGGCAGAGATGAGATATACCCTTGCAAATGCCGTAGAAGTTGGGGGTCACGAGCGCCGGACACAAAAAGCGAAGGAAGAAGAATCCGCTGAGCACCATGTTGACCTCCTCTGGGAACCGCTGCTTGATCTCGGAGCCCAGGAAGCAAAAAATACGCCGCAATATGCTGGTGACGAAACGAGAGTGAGTCTGTTGCTGCAGGGATCAGGTGTAGAGTGGGAATGACGGTACTTTGGGATGGAGTTAAGCGAGCAGCAGATGTGATCCACCACTTGCTTGGCTGTACACAGTAGCCGGGAGAGATTGGACTCCACCTTCGCGGGATTCGTTTCCCGATGCGGGTCCATCTCGAAGCACACCTCGTTTTTACAAATATTAGACACAAAGGGGTACAGCGTGCGCTGTAGATACGGCTCACCCTCCCTAAGGAGAAGAAAGATGAAGATCTTAGCGTTAGACCAAGAACCGTCAGCGTGTTGATGAAGGAGGCACTTACCGGAACATCCACGATGACAGAAGATACGTGGCAGTGCTCCCTTCTCGGAAGAACGCAGAGATGGAGAGCTTGTCGGTCTCCGAAGAGAGGGAAGTGCTGGAGAGAAGAAACATCGCTTTGGCTTTGGTGTTGAACGCAAGTGGTTAGCGAAAGGCACGACATGCGAGGGGTGCGATGCAGCAGCTACCTGTAAAATTGGTCACCTCCTGGTGGATGGCCTGCCGCAGCAGAGCATAGATGCGGTTGTGTGCTTCACTTATTGACACCACCGCTTGTATCTGTTGCGGTAAAAGTTAGCGTGGGGGAAATCGGCAGCTGCACCGAGCGAAGGAGGTAAATACCAATACATCATTATCCTCAAGATGTCGGACAGCCTCCATCGCAACCAACAATAAGTCATATTTTTCTTCCAAGATTAGCTGTGCATTAAATCGAGAGTTAATTTAGAGATCTCTGCTGAGCTAGCCATGCAATTCAACGATGAAACAAGCACTTACCTCTTCCAGTTTCGTGTATGCGTCCTCTGGTCGCATTGTGTTGAATTTCTCTTCCACTTGCTGGGGCGTGGGGGTGCCGAAGACCCACGTAGAGCATCGCTCGCGCGATCCATGGACGGGTCGATCAAACGAAAAGATACCGCTGCCGGCGGAATGTGAGAATTCCATTATTTCCTCCTCCTTCTCCTTTTCCTGCTCTGCTATACTCGGCTCCTTCGACGTCCTTCCTCTAGCTCAGACAATCAATCTGCCGTTGAGCATTCATCCACCTTTTACCGCAGGATTGAAGTCCCACAACTCTGACGCCGACCCAACGCGCGACCAGCCAAGTAAACGTAGAGCCTCTCTTTCGTTTGATCTCCACTCCTTCGTCTTCTCTTCCCTCTGTATTGCCCCCGGTAGTCGTTCTTCTTGGCTTGACGGTTCAACGGCTGCTTTCCTGTTATGGGCTGCGTCGACAAATTTGGTCGGTTACGGCCCAGCGAGAGGTACACATCGAGGCAAGTTGCTTCACTCCCGCCTTGCAGCGGTTGGCTAGTGTTTCACCGCTCCAGCTCTATACAATGAGTTCTCGGTCACGAACAACAAAATGGGGAGCGTGCGCGTTGGAGGTGGGTTTCAGGCTGCGCCCTCGTCGCTGGCGAGGAGGCAGATAGCGGACACCGCCAGAACCAGGCCCACCACCTTGCGCAGAGTGAAGGTTTCGCCCAGACACAGCACGCCCAGCACGGCGGGTACGATGATGTAGAGAGCTGTCACAGGTCCCAGCACGCTCACGCTCATCCCCATGCTCGATAGCTGGTGGCCAAGAGTGAGAAAGCGCGCATTAGGGCCTCAAGTCCAGCATCATGAAAGCGTACCTTGAAGAAGCCCACGTCCGCCCACGTGAACATCAGGCCGGACACGATACACAGCAAGTGGTTGCGCGTGAACGTTCGGAACTGCTGTTGAGGTAGGAACGGCAATGTACAGAGAAGGAACCCCCTAGCACCCAACCGCGCCAGCAAGACGTTAGTGTTGCAAAGAGAGGGAGGGAAAGAGGGGGGGGGTACATAGTGTTGTAGAGGAGGGAGGCCCGAAAGGAGGCACGCTGGCCGACATAGCCCATGATGAATGTGGCCAGGCCCCAACCAAGGAAGCACACTGCGATACACCCCGCCACCGCCCACTTGTGCTTTTGCTTTGCCAGAACACTCGCCGCATTGTCGACTGTGGGCGCCAACGAGCCTTGTGTGTTCGCCTTATCGCCCACCAAAGGATTCATCCCTTTGGTGGCCGCACCAGAGACCTCGGGCAGCGTCCCCTTCATCTCCACTTGTTTTGATTTCTTTTTCAACTTTTCCTTTTCTTTTCTTGTGTTCTGTGGTGTTGTGTTGCGCACGCTACAACGCGATGACGGGAGGGAGAGTGAACTTGCCCTTCTCCCATACACCTTCGCGCAGGATTGTACCATCGGAGAGGGAGATCTCCTTGCCCTCGCCGTGAAGCACGCCATCGCTCCAGTGGCCCTCGTGCGCCTTCATTCCGTTCTCGCTCACGAGGCGGCCCTTGCCCCACTGCTTGCCCCGTCGCCACTCGCCCTCGTAGGTGTCGCCGTTGGCCCGCGTGAACTTGCCGCGGCCCTCGGGGACGTCGTTCTGGAACTGGCCCTCGTAGACGCTCCCGTTGGTATAGGTCAGCCGGCCGTGGCCCTCCTTCATGCCGTATCGGAGGTCGCCCTCGTAGACGTGGCCCTTGCGCGAGTTGGTCTCCTTGCCGCGGCCGTGCGGTCGGCCGCCCATCATCTCGCCCTCGTAGACGATGCCATTTAGCGAGTCCTTGAGCAGGCCTCGCCCGCACGGCTCGCCGTTGCGCCACTCGCCCTCGTACAGCTGGTCGCTGCTCTTGGCCATGCCGTGACCGTGGAAGAGGGAATCCTTGAAGTCGCCAACGTAGAGCAGGCCGTCTTCCACGCGCGTTTGCTTGCCTTTCACCATGCTGCCGCTTTGCCATGTGCCCTCGAGTACGGTACCGTCATCGAACGTCATCTTGCCCTCGCCCTCGAATACGCCCTCCACGAACTCACCCTCATATAAGGACCGGTCTGCAAAGACCTGCTTCCCGCGGCCATGCTGCTTACCGTTCTCCCATCCGCCTTCGTACGTACTGCCATCAGCCAGGTGGTGCTTCCTGCGAGCATTGCCAACCCAACATCGTCATCGCGATCAGGTCTTGCGACGACAGAGAGCAAGCGAGCATGTTTGGCGAGGATGTACCTGCTGGTAGAGTCCTCACCCCAGGACGCGGCACTGAGGCGGAGATTCCTCCTATGCTGTGCGTGTGAGCACTCCTTTCTGTTTTGTTCAACTTAGCCGAGCAAAGGTCGCCGAAGGAGGCAATACCTGGCGAAGGGCGTCGAACTGCGCAGGAAAACGAGAACTGAACTACCAAAGGGAAGACTTGGGCGCAAGGTCTCCGCTGCCCCCCCCCCACCGACATTCTTAGCGAAAACGAGATCAAGCGCGAATGTGTGCGCAGCGAAGTTGTACCATAGCCGGAACCGCCACGCACAGCACCGAGGAGACAGCGTGGGGGCAACGGACCTAGCGCCGGCCGAACGTGCCGCACTGCATTCATCGTTAGTGGATATCTTTTGTCTTCCTTTTCTTTTCTTTTTTTCTTTTCTTTTCCCTCTGTCCTTTCCCGCAGCACGTCCATCAAGCTCACCCACCGAGCTTGGTCCTTGGAGCTCTGGCCGAATCTGCAGATCGAGTCCTTCTCGACCATTCCTGGCCGCCGCGAGCGGAGTGGATTTCTCGAGGATCTGTGGGCAGGCGGTGTCACCTTCGCTCTCTCGTACTGGGAATCGTCTTCGTTCACCCCGACTTCTTGGGCGACACGACTTGAAGGCCCCGAGTTCCTCAGTTATCTCACACCTTCCGCCTCTACTGTCATTCAGAAACCACAACACCCACCACACGTACTCTCAACTTCAACACACTCAAGCATGAGCGCCAGCACCACCACACAGCAACACGTGAATCCACTGGACCTGCCTCTCCCTCGTGAGGCGCCACCGACATCCAGGCGCAACAAGGGCATTGCCGCTGGCCTGCGCCGGAGCTTGTCCGGTTCGATCACCATCCCGGATTCCGTGTCGGAGACCGCCCTCAAGCATCGCAACGGCCTGCGACGTCTCACCAAGCGGCTGCGCGATGTGGATCCGTCACTCCCGGCCCGCGCCACGTCCTTTGTGGGCATGGGCGGAATGATCATCCGCGAGATCAGGGGCGGGTCGAGGGACGACGAAGTCTCGACCGCCACCACGACCACCACCACCACCAGAGCAGCGCCCGAGACCATGGTGGGACCTGATGGAGTCGAAACGGTTATTCCAGGTATCTATTTTTTGTGTGTTTTCTGTAGCGCGTTGTGGTGTTCTCACCATGGCGTGCAGTTACCCCCGCCAGGACTGAAGAAGAGCGGGTGAGGCAATGGCGTGACAGCGGTGATGTGACTGCGCCCATGAGCGCCGAAGACCTCGCCGGGGATGCACTCGTGCACCTCACACAGCGCCTGGCCTCGGTCGTGCCGATGAAAGGTTCATTTCTAATTCTTTTCTCTTCTACTGCTCAGCATGAGTACGGGTGCTGAGCTCGTCTGTTGTGTGGCGATGAACCTGTGTGCAGGCTTGAACAAACCGGTGGGTAGTGTGCTCGTTGGCAACCATCGCAAGATCACCAGTAGATGGCTCGAACTGTCCCGCATCGCTGCCGACGTGAAGAAGCACAACGCCCACCTCGACTCGCTGCGAGCTCGATCGAGAGACTACGCCTCCGTTCTGCAGACATCGTCTCAGGTTCCTGTGAGCTCATTAGGCTCTCCTTTCCGCTTCGTGCTCACTCTTTCCCTCTGTTTTGTAGACCGCAGTCACCCTGCGCGAACGCGTGCGAGCCGTATTGGTGGCCATCCAGGGAATCGAATCGGCCGCTGCCTTCCAAGACGCCCAGAACATGAACGCCTACCTCCAGCTCCTAAACGAGGTAGTTACGGCCTTCGTTGTGGACTGTTGGAGCGCCGACTGTGTAACATTAACAGCATAAATTAACAATTGGGTGTTCCATTCTAGGTATCTACTGGCGCGGCTCAGGAAGCGAATGTGATCGCCCAGAGGCAGGAGCAGCTCATGGCCGGTCTCATGCAAGATGCTGAGATGATCGCCAAGAGCGCGCGTCGCGCTCACTCACGCTCGTCCCTCTTTGCTGTGTCTGCACTGGGAGCCCTCGCTGCCGGCGTCGTACTCACGGTACGCGACGATTCAGGCCCCGGGTCGACAAGTACCGCGGTGACTCACGCCACATGTGCGCTTTGCAGGGCGGAGCTGGTCTGCTTGTGGGCGGAACTGTAGCCACGCTGACGGCGATTGCCGGTGGTGGAATGCTCACTGGCCTCACCTGCGGAGCGCTATTGGACGCCTCTGATGGTACGCCAGACCGGCATCTTCTGGTGCTTGGCTCGCTGAGCTCACACTGTGTACCCTCTGTTTGGCCCAACAGCCCACGAGAAGATCGAGAGGAGTATGCAGGAGATGCAGACGGTGAGCGAGAGGGCCGGGTCTTTGGTGGAGGGCGACGCCCGCGTCTGGCGCTCCATCGGCCTGGCGTCGCGCATGGCCGAAGGTCGAGTCCGCAGCATGCCGAGCGTCTTCCAGTCCGCCCAGTGGGCGCAGATCCAGCCGCAGGTCATGCAGAGCCTGCACGAAGCACAGGTACCCCCAACACCGCCGAGTTTCGCACGCGTACAAGCAAGCGACTGACCTGGTCGATCTCCTTGTGCGTGCGTTCTACTTCAAGATGGGATTCGTGCAGCTGCTTCGCACGCTCGACATCTACGTGGTCTACCTGTTCAGTTCTGGGTTCGCCATCCCCGGCATCGACCTGGCCAATATCATGGACGGCCCCACCATCGCCGCCGCCCGCCGGGAGTTGGCGGCCATGGACGCCGCAGTGCTTCCACTTCCCGCCGCCCCACTCGCCCCCATGTAGAGCCGACGACCACTCAAGCCACCACTTCTCCACTTCTCTGTACATTCATTTCTATCTAAACGACGCTGGCCTGCACGCCATCAAAGTCTGTCTCGGCCCAATGGCGCACGTTTACGAAAATTAAACGTTTGAACTGGAGCCGGAGCTGTTTCCACAACCAACACAACCACCACCTTGCAAGCCGCTTTCCTCCATCGGGCCAGGACCTGTAGTGCTTGTTCGATCAACGAGCATCAAAATCAATTTGGATTCCTTCGGCAACGCAGCTCGATCCTTTAATTTATTTAATCAACCAAGATCGCTTCCGTCAATCTTTATCTGTCGGGGAACGATGGCGGCAACCAGCGAAGATGACGAGATGAAGGGGCTCAACGATCTTGAGAAGGAGATGGAAAGCCACGAGGAAGACGATGACGACGAAGATGACGATGATAGCAGCTCTTCCTCTTCCAAATCGTCGACCCGCAGCCAAGGAGAAAGGAGGACTTCCTTCTCGGTGCCAGGCGGTAAAGGAGAAGAGTGCGAAGGCCTCATGGCCGGCCAATACGTACGCACCTTTTTAATCCCCCCCCCCATTCGTTCTTTATTATTTGTGTATATAAAGATTATTTATTTTACTGTCAATATGTTTTCGTTTACTTTATTGTTTCATATTGTTCGTTTTGTTTGTTGTTATTTTTATTTTTATTTTTATTTATTTATTTTGGCACTCATCTCCCGGCAACCGTCGCTTTCATCCTTTCGGCCTCGGGGGCGAAATGCTGGGCAGGAAGCGTTGCTAATGCTCGTGGTGATTGCAGCGTATGGGCAAGCTTATCGGCCGAGGCGGCTTTGGCACCGTGCACAAGGCGCTCAACGTCAACACGGGCCAAATCGTGGCCATCAAGCGTTTCCACGCTGCCAAGATCACCAAGTCCAAGCTCGCCGCCGTCATGGTACGCACCCACCCTGTTCGTGCGTGTCGGTGGTGTGACGTGTGGGATCAATCGCAACTCACACCAATCGCGCGGGTGCGCTCGCTCACGTTGTGCCGCCAGGCCGAAGCCGATGTGTTGGAGAAGCTCAACCACTCCAACGTGGTGAAGTTCATCGGGTACGTCAAGACGCAGGACTTCCTGCATCTCGTGCTGGAGTACGTGGAGGAGGGCGCCCTCTCCGACGTGCTCAAGGACTACGGCCGGTTCCCCGAGAACATCACCGCGCTCTACACCGCCCAGATGCTCAAGGGCCTCGCCTACCTCCACGAGCAGAGAGTGATCCACAGAGACATCAAGGGGTGCGTAAAAAAAAAAACACTGGCACCGGAGCGGCTCCAGCGGCCGCGGCTCTGTGTCTGTTCGTTGTTCATTGCTGATCTGTCGGTTTGTGCAGAGCAAATGTGCTGCTCACAAAGGACGGCGGCATCAAATTGACAGACTTCGGCGTGGCGGCGGTCATCAACGAAAGCGAAAAGCGATTCTCGGTGGTGGGAACGCCGTACTGGAGTGCGTGCCCTTTCCATTTTTTGCGTTGTTCATTTGGCACGCCGACCGGCGCTTTGCTAATACCGGCCTCGGCATTCCTCTAGTGGCGCCGGAGGTCATCGAAGTCGCCGGACACTCGACCAAGTCCGACATTTGGTACTACTTAAAATTTCAGCCTTGCTTGGCATTATGGCGACGGTTGAGGGTGAAGCCGCTGACCATCGATCGGACAGGTCGGTGGGCTCGACGGTGTATCAGTTGATTATGGGCGAGCCGCCCCATTTCGATCTGCAGCCCCTGGCCGCCATGTACAGGATCGTGAAGGAGCGCCGCCCGCCTCTGCCCAAGCCCTGCTCCGACGTACGGCACGGCCCATCATTTTAGTTGCAGCTGTTATTGGCTTACACTTATCTGGTGGTGAACCCAATAGGAGCTGGCAGACTTTTTGAGCAAGTGTTGGAACAAAGAACCGTCCAAGCGGCCCTCGGCCAAGGAGCTCCTGTCGCACCCCTGGATCACCAACGCCGTGCCCCCGGAGTCCAAGCCCGAACAGGTACCCACGAGGCGCACGGACCGCACGGGGCCTGTGATGCGCATGGCCCTGATGCCGGAGCTAAATCTGTTCGCACAACAGGTCGTCCTGCCGCCGGAGGAGCTCAAGACCTCGCTCAAGACGCACAACTCGGTGGTCATCCACCGTGCGTCGGTCTCGTCCGACCAGCACTCCGATCGGGAAGACGACAATGAAGACGACGATGGCCGAGGCGACACCATGTACATCTCTTCCTCTTATCCCTGCATCGAATCTGAGTCGGAGGTGCGTTGCCCCCCCCCCCCCAAAGACCACACCGCTTCTCTTTTCTCTGTTTCTCTGGAATGCTGAGCATTCCGGCGACGCACACATTCCAGGACGAGAACGGGGAGAAGATACCTCGCATGCCATCGTCGGAGCAGGAAATGGAGGAGTGGGAGCGAGAGGGTAGGCGAACGGCGCGGTCGTCGTCGACGTCTGGAGTGCCTACTACCAACCTGAGCAGCGGGAACAGCAAGCGGAAGAGCGGCAGCAGCGTGCGGCGGATGACCGCGGCGATGAAGTCGCACTCGAGCGACGCCGAGGAGATGAACAGGAAGCGAGAGAAGGCCGAGCGGGAACGAAGAGAGCGCGAGAGGCGAAGGGAGGAGAAGATGGAGAAGAAGGAGAAGAAGCGGGAGGAGAAGATCAGGCTCAAGGAGAGCCGCGAGAGCATGCGCATGCAGCAGAAGGAGAAGGAAGACAAGGCCCTCAAGAAGTCCTTCTCCAAATACACCGTCGACAGCGAAGAGCGGCCCATCTGCCAGAATGTACGGAATGACCGCTGACACCGTTGGTGGGTTTGCGCATGTCCGTTGCTCACGAGCGATGCTTGGGTAGGGTCTGGCCTGCAACAGCGACGACGCCGAGCACTTCCTCAAGTTCCGGCACACCCCGCTGACCACACCGCCCACGGCCGAGAAGGACAAGACCATCATCTTCCTCAGCTCGAGCTCGGACGGCTTCGAACGACTCGACAAATCGGACAGCGACTCGGCCCGCAACTCCAGTGGTGCGCAATTGCCAAATCAAATCGACACTGAGCGTTCCTTCCGCTGACTCCCTCTTCGCCGCTCTAATCCGTGTCGTTGCGCGCAAAGCAGAGATCAAAACGTCCACGCCGGACAAGCCCTACGCTGCGATGTGGAAGAAGCTCGAGGATGCTCTCTACGACAATGGAAAGCTGCGGAGCCGAAATGACGAATTGGAACAAGAAGTCGAGGTAAGTCGCTGTCCGTATGTTGGTGTGTTAGTGCGTCGAGCGTCGAGCGTCGGGCCACAGAGGCGCTGACCCAAGGATTCGCCTGTTACAGAGAGTGATGGGCCAGAGAGACGACTTGTTGATCCAGTTGGCCGAGATGCGATCCTACACTGATGAAGTTCTCGCTTTGGCCAACATGGTCCTGTCGGCCGACCACAACGTATGCACATCTCTTTCGCACGTGCATCATGTATCGTTGGCGCTTCTCACATAGGGACTCTATCAGGGAAAGAAAGAGAAGGAGGCCAAGCTCAAGAAAATCCTTCAAACGTTGGTGGATGAGAAGCCCAAGAGGACGCAGAGTCACGAAGAGCTGCTCATGTACGCCGTGCGTGGTTGTGTGTTTGTCGTCCTTCGCTCTTTTTTAACTCCGATCGTCGGTGGGGCGACAAACAGATCTGTGGCGTCAGAGCTCAAGGCCAACAAAAAGAAGAAGGAGAAGAAGGTCAAGAAGGAGCTGCAAAGAGTGTCAATCCTCTCGCGAAAGGGACAGTCGTTCAAGTTCCGATCAATGACCAGCAAGAGCAGCACCGTGGGCTCGATCGAGAAGGAAATAGAAAAGGAGAAGGAGAAGGAGCGAAAGGAGGTCCTCAAGAAGTCCAGCGACAGTGATAAGCTGGCGGCCAGCTGAGGCTGTGGTGCATCGTGTTCTTCTCCATGAGGATGTAATTTTACGAAAGTATTTTTGCATTGCGGTCAGGTTGCCTGCGATCCACAAGGGGATCAGCAGTCCCTCCTTCCCATTTGAAGAGGCGCCACGTCATCATGTCGGTGGTCTCCATCTTAGAATTTTCTAAGACGATAGCTGGCGGTGCGGCCAGCAGGCGCTCGTCGACTCCAATCTGCGTTCCATCAGTTTTCGGGCGGTTCTGCTTTAGCGTCGACGACTGTCCGGCACGTGGCGAAATTTCCTTATAATAAGATATGTCCGGACCAATAAGGTGTCGTTCGTAGGAAATTTCGTACCCCTCAATTAATTTCAAAAGCCACGTGCTTCAGGTTTCTCGACGAGAGCGACAAGGAGACGCGGAGCAGTTTACAATACCAACGAGATAACGGCGCAGAAGGAGCGGCACGCAGAGGGACCTGCCTTGAAGGGTTTGAAGCTTGCAAGGCCTCTCTTTCGTCTCGAGGAGCCGAGGTGGTGCAAGAAGACCGCGTGCCAGGACTACCATCAACATCGCGTGTTTCTTGCGGCCAAGTCGGAACTAAAAATCGCATCTCCATCATCTCCGTGGTCCGCCACGACGCCTCGTTCGACCTGTTCGTTCTAGAAGACCGCTGGACAAGGGGAATATTTCTTCCTTCGCCTCCATCAGTCGCTCTACTACGTCGTCGATCGCAGTTGCCGCCGGCCATCCCTCAAGCGACCGAGACTGCCAACTTTCATCAGACATCGAAACCACCTAAGGACTTAATCCAAAGGTAGTCGGTCTCAACGGATCAACCACACGCGAAGTCCTGCGATCGGATGCTTTCCGCCATGCAGAGACGGCAGGGTCCCGAAGACATCTCGACTTCAGCGGCCGGTGTACCATCGTCATCAACGGGAGCGGCACCTTCGGCGGGCGGAGGCGGCGACGTATCGTTTTGGTCGTCCCTGTCCGTGGTCGACAGCCTCTTCTCCGATGACCCTCCGACCAGGCTCGGCCAGACGATGAGCGCCGACCACGCCGGTGCCTTCGGAGGAGCCCCATCTTCTTCGGCTTCGAACGGCGGCTGGCCTTCGTCGATGAGCCTTTCGACGTCTTCGGCGCCCACGCACCAGAGCCACCTGCTCCACGCTCTCGGCGGAGGAGCGCAGGGCCAGGGCCAGGGCCATCTTCATCAGATGGGAGGCAGCCACGGCGCGCTTGGCCTGCAGAGGTCGTCCTTCGATGAAGGCAGCTTCTACTCGTCGCCATCGGCGTCCCTCTTCTCTTCGTCGCCCATCCTCTCGCCCCCCACCTCCCCGGCCATCCATTCGCTTATTTACTCTTCAGAGGAAGATCATCACGATGTGCGGTCTCTCGGAGGACTCGGCCTCCATCAGCAGCACCTCAACAACAATCACCATCTCAGCCATCATCATCAACAGCAGCAGCATCTGCAAGGAGGCGCCGGCGCCTACGCTGGTGGCGGTTTCCACTCCAACGGGCTCCACTCGACCAACGGCGTCGTGACGAGGAAGCACAACTACTCCCTCTACTCCAACGGCGGCGCGGCCGGTTCGCCATCTTCGGTCCAATCCGCTGGCGGCAAGTACTCCAACGCGCGTCCTGGCAGCTCGGGCCTGCCCAACGGTGCTGGCCACAAGCACAGCGGCAACTTCGGCAACGGCTACGCATCATCTGGAGGCGGGGGCGGCTACCAGCAACAGCAACAGCAGCAGCAGTTCCAGTACGCGGGCAGCGGCCACTACCCGACGTCTGGCGGCGGCTACCACAGCGGAGGCGGTGGATCGGCTGGCGGCCATTTCCGTGCATCGCCGCCTCGTTCGCAGCCCATCCATGCTCCCGGGCCTCGCGGATCGTCGGGCCTGGGTGGCAGCGGGGGCTACCCGGCCTCCTCGCCCCCTGCGCGGCTGAGGAACAACGGCGGCCTCGGATCGATGCCGCGCTCGTCGCCCCCGCGCAGCCAGCACTCGTACCTCTCGACCGCGCTCAAGGGCTCGAACAACGGCGGCGTGCAGCAGCAGGGCAAGCAGCAGTACGGCAGCGGCAACATCCCTTCGATCAGCCTTTACGCGGCCCCGACGGATGGCAACAATATTTGTTTCGACGACGAGGTGGTGGCGCTCTCCCCTCGCGGCTCGGCCTCTGCAGTACTGCAGTCGCCCCGGCTCTCATCGTCGCCTCTCCTCCACGGGTCGGGCTCGCAGCCCATCCAGATCTCGCGCAGCCAGCAGGGCCAAGCGGGCGGCTCTATGGGTCCTCGCTCGCCCTCGGCACCTTCGGCGTTCGTCGTCTCGACCTCGCCGATCAGCAGCCAGCTGGGATCGCTCAAGATCGATGAAGCGAGCGAGACCTCGGGCCTCCTGCTGCTGCCGTCGACGACCCTGCTTCGCATCTTCAGCTACCTCTCGGGCAGCGATCTCGGCCACCTGGAGCAGGTGTGCAAGCGGCGCATGGCCTACCTGGCCAACGACGACGGGCTCTGGAAGGATCTCTACCTGAGACGCTACAAGCTGCTCGAATCGGCGGAGGGGGCGATGCTCCCGCCGACGCCCGTCGATCCCACCATCGGCGACGAAGATTCGGAATCGGACGAATGGGCCTGGATCTACTCTCTTCTGCAGCAGAACGAGAGATGGAAGGACATCTTCAAGACCCGCTTCTCAGCCGAGCAGTGGCGCATCGGTTCGCTCAAGATGTTCAACGGCTGCTGGGGCTTCATCTCGCAGACGCCCAATCCCGGCCAACTGCCCGAGCAGACGCTCGACATCTTCTTCCACCGCAAGGACATCGCTCCCGACGGCGAGTGGTACGAAGATTGGTGGCTCAAGGATACCCCCGGCGTCAGTCGCAGCCAGAAGTGCGGCTACTGGGACACCTTCCTCTGTGGTCGCATCGTCCGCTACAAGCAGCGCGCCGCGTACGCCCAGGGCCGCCGTCCGCAGGCTTGCAACATCAGCTTCGTCGGCGAGGAGAGGAGGGACCCCATCACCGGCGAGCCCCTGCCCGCCCTTCACGACGCCAAGATCGCCCAGCGGTCGCTCGCCGCCGCGAGATTCGGCTAAGCCGGGTTCAACTCGCAGCAGCACCACGGCCGCGGTCTCTTCGCTCTCGACTCTCTTCCTCACCTCTCGACTCGGCTCGCCTTCTCCTCTTCCCTCTCTCGTGCCGCTTCCCTCGAATCGATCGAAGCAGCGCGGGAGGGGTGCACCACGGAGCAAGGCGCACGCCAGTCACCTTTTCATTTTAGTTTCTTTTTATTCATCTCTTTTCCCTCCTCGAGCGACGGACCGCACGCGGCGAGGGGCTTCTCGCCGGATCATCACCCCTCACGTGAGTGCGCTTCATTCATTCTTTATCCCTTCGTCACGGCTTGTATATGTGAAGCCCTTTCGCCACCCAACGGCGCACATTCGATGTAATGTAGCCTCTCCTCACTTCTCTCACAATAAACCACCTTTATGTCTACCCTTCTTCTCATCCCTCCCCGCCTTCTCGTCATCCTTCCACCTTCCCCCTTCTTCTGCTCGCTTCACGCAGTACGTTCTGCTCTTTTTCTCGTAACGGCGCCGTACAATAAGAGGGCGGCCAACGTGTTGTGCAACCACTTCGACAACACTGTTTTTAGTAAACAGCGTCACATGGCCGAGCTGAGTGTCGAGGTGCGGGTGGTGATGTGCACTCAAAACGAGGGCAAGCTCACTGAGGTGCGCAAGTACTTCGAGGCACGCCAGACCGCAGCAGCGGGCGGCGACGGAGCTCCGTCGGTGCGGTTCGTGGTGGTGTCGCCCTCGGAGGCGGGCCTGCCGCAAGTGGAGGTCGACGAGGACCAACCCACGCTCGAGGGCAACGCGGCCAAGAAGGCGCGCCAGCACTACCGCCTTCTCCCTCCTTCCGCCGCCACCCCCACTGGCCCGTGCCCCGACCAGCGCTCGATGACCGTCGTGGTGGCCGACGACACGTCACTGGCCATCGAGACGCTCAACGGGGAGCCCGGCATCAAGGTGCGGCGGTGGAAGGACGGCATCACCTCCATGACCGACGAGGGCATCATCACCCACTGCCTTGCCCGCATGCAAGGCCACTCCAACCGGTGCCGCCGCCTGCCTTATTGTTGTTGTGTGCGCGTATCGTGCGTATTGTGTGTGTGCGTGGAGCGTGCGTCGCGGTCTTCGATCTGATGATGATGGTTTGTCGGTGACAGTAAGGTGCAGTTCCGGTCCGTCGTGGCGATGGTCAAGCCTGGCGGAGCTGTGCCGGAGGAAGTGACGAGGAACCGGAGGTGGAGTACTTCAACGGGCTGCTCGACGGCACCATTCTGGAGGAAGCCGACCCGATGCGCATCGCGGGGTTCCCCATGGAGAGCCTCTTCTACGTCGACGAGTATAGCCTGCTACTGGGCACCATCCAGCTGCTGCCCCCCGACGAAAAGCTCAAGTACGCCGTTCGCAGCCACAGCATGGAGCGAGTGTAACATGATTGCTGATCACTGGCAGGACTGACTGCGTGCACGCAACGCAGGTACCCAACGCATCGGCAGAGGCTACTGGACAAGCTCTACGCCCGGCTGGTGGAGCTTGCGCTCAGTTCGCCACCCTCCTCATGACCGAGGAGAGGAAGATCCGGACCTGGGCCGCGCACGTGCGGAATGGCCACATGGGCGTGATTGTTTGGAGGTTCTTCAGAGTTTCAATCAATTGCCCGTCACCTCTGTTTTTTGTCTTAACCCCCCTCTCCGGCACTTATTGTTGTCCTTCTCACCCACCAAGCACACACCACCACACGCGAACAGGTACGTTCATCTTTTTTGTGCTCTCTCCCAGACAAATAAATAATAATTATTACCACTTATTTATTTATGGACGGGGGGGGGCAAACAGACATGAAGAAGAAACCCACTTCGCCCGACCCAATAATTCACCGGCGTGGCAGCACCACCAAGCGGTCATCGCCACCGAAGAAAAGAGAAGGAAGCCAACAGGCCTGGCAACGACAGTAGCGGCAGCACGCTCCCTGTGAAGGTCATGGACAAGAAGACGAACGAGCCCGGTCTCAAGTGCTACCACGAGGTGCCGGCATTCCTGCAGTACAACCGACACGTCCTCACCGGCTACCGCGTCTCCTACAGGCACGCCAACTTTCCCGTTCCCATCGATGGTGCCCACGCCCACTTGCGTGTACAACACTAACACCAAACCTTTGTGTGACTCGACACTGCGCAGTTGGAAGCTGTGCGCTCGCAGTCTATTCCATCAACACAACGGTACAACACCACGCACTCAGGTCCTGGTCTCCGTTTGAGAGCGCAACACTAATCTTCAACTGTTTGCTCGCAGAAACACTCAATATTTGGACCCGTACGTTCGCCCGAACCACACGCACACGCACACGCACACGCACACGCACACGCACACGCACACGCACACGCACACGCACGTAGTCTGTAGTTGACATGATAAACGAAAACGTGCATATCTGCCAGATCTGCTGGGCGCACTGATCTTCATCGCGCTCTTCCACCCGACCATCCGCTATCTCCACGAGCCCACGGCGACGGACATCGTGCTGTTCGGGATCTACTTTGCGTGCGCGGTGACGACGATGATCTGCTCGGCCGTGTTCCACCTGTTCAACTGCACCTCGCCGGGCGCCTACAAGCGGCTGGCCACCCTCGACTACTCCGGCATCTCCCTTCTCATCGTGGGCTCCTATCTCCCGCTCGTCTACTGGTATGCATCAGCACTGCATCCTTCACATTCCATGAACACGGCCCGGACTGGTGCTGACGTCATGTTGGTGCGTGCCGTCGTGTGTCGTGCGTGTCGTGCGTGTGGTGTGCAGGGGCTTCCACTGCGTGCCGTGGTGGAGGGACGTATACATGACCACCATATCGGCGTTCGGTGTCATCGGTCTGGCCTTGTCGTGGATCCCCTACTTCTCTCAACCGCACACCCGCTTCCTCCGCACCTGTACATCTCTCCTAACGCACGCGCACGCAACTGAGAACACACACACACACAACACACAACACACACCACTCACTGTGTGCCTTTTTGGCCACGGCCAGCGTTCTACCTGTTCTTCGGATGGTTCAGCCTGATCCCGGTCGGACACCTGGTGTACATGGACGGCAGCTTCTGGTTCGTGTGGCGCATCGGCCGCTTCGTGCTGTTGATGGGCGTCATCTACTCCGTCGCCGCGGCCATCTACGTCTCACAAATTCCCGAGCGTTGGGCGCCCGGCATGTTCGACTACTCCGTATGTCACCCGCGCGCGCACACACACGCGCACGCACGCACGCATACACACGCGATGATACTCATTGTCTGCGTGCCGTGCTGTGTAGTGCCAAAGCCATGTGATCTGGCATGTGCTGGTGTTCCTGGCAGCTCTGGTGCAGGTGGGCGCGCTCATGTACTGCCACGGGGTCATCCCCGAACACTCGTGCCCGGCAGGCTACGGCGACCTACCCACCGCCTAAGTGGTTCGTGGTGCCGAGGCCAGTTCGTGGTGCCGAGGCCGGTTCGTGGTCCACAGAGTAACCTAAAGCCCCTTCCCCCCATGTTTTCAGGCGCGGGGAGGGCAATGTAAAGACAAAGCAATTGCTGCTGTGATTTGGTGTTCATCATCATGCCCTGGGCGTTGTCTTCTTTGTCTTCTTGTGTTGTGCCTCTTTCTTGTTAGACGCCAAGGTGCTGTCTTGGTCGGCGCTGCTCATCGCCGATGGGCCCCGCTTGCGGACCTGCTCCAGCCCCAGCGCCTGTAATCGCTTGCTGTTGGCCTCGGGCAAGCGCAGGAGATAGTCCTCGCCGTATTTCTGGGACGCCGCACACGTGTGCGGCCGCGCGTGTTGCGTAGCATGTGCGTGTCCGCGGTCAGCGACACGTCGCAACAGTACAAACGAACGAACGAAGTGGTGAACGCGAAAGAGTAGAGAGCGGTGGGTAGGCACCTCGCGTGCAGCGGTGATGATGGACGCGCGGATGAGGTGCACGGTGGGGTAGGGCGATCGGCTCGTGTAGTTCTCCACGGAGTCCTCCTCCTCGCCTTCATACCTGAACCTCGGGTGGAACTGCATTCACAAGCCAGACGCGCTTAGCGCCTTAGGTGCGTGTGCGACACGACACACACCAGACACGACACACGCGCACCTGGGCTATCTGATGCACCGTCTCGACTGAATTGGACGAATGAAGAATGATGAGGTGAGCTGCTGCTGGGACGGTTGGCACAGGAGGAGCTGCGTATTGGGGGGAGGAGGGAGTACCTTCTTCTCCGTCGTCGTCCGTGGACAAGTCCTCCGTGGCGATGTTGACCGCCGCATTGAAGGCCTCGAACTGCGCAAAGTCTTCCACGTGCGGCAGCGCCACCAACGTGCTCGCCACCTTAACTCACACGCATGACCACCACCCATCGCGCAACCGCACACGCACGACCGCACGCGCACATCGCCGCATCGATCAGCCAACACCCACCGCGCACGCACAACCGCACACGCACGACCGCACGCGCACACAGAGGGAAGGGGTACGTGGGGTTGGTCGTGGAGGACTTGGACTTCCTTGCGTAGGAAAGCGAGGAAGGAGGAGAGGTCGTCGGCCTCGCCGGCCGGGGCGCAGACGATGCGCGTCTCGTCCAGGCGGGCGAAGGGGCAGAGCCGGAGGCCCACGACCACCTGGTCGGCCCACCGCCTCGTCAGCTCGATCACCCGCGCCTCCTCCGCCGAGGGCGTGGCTTCCTCATCATCTGCTGCTGCTGGCTGTCCAGACCCAGCATCTATGTCGTGCCCTCCATCTCCATCTTCATAATCCGGTCGCGATCTGTTCCGGAGCGCGCGAACGTGTGGAAGCGGACCCGTGAAGAGGGCACCTGCAAGTCTCGAGCTGCCCCTTGACGAGGCCAGGCGTGCTGATGGAACCGCCAGCCGACAGACCTTGTGCATCCTTTTTTAAAATATAAAATAAATATAAATAATACAAAAACAAAGAAGAGGGAAATAAAATAAAATAAATCGTGTGGCCGGTCACTTGGCTGGGGCGGGCGTGGCGGCGGGGGCGCCGTGCTTGCGGAGAAGGCCGAGGACGTCGTCATCGCAGGCGGCCTGGATGGCAACGTCGGTGGTCGACTCGCCGGTCTTGGTGCGCACCGTGGCAGCGTCGGCGCCGTAGGTGAGCAGGTGTCGCAGCATGGCCACGTTGCGTCTCCGCTTGCGCTCGCGTTCGAGCACGCCCTCGCCGCTGGCCTCGCGCACGGTCTTGGGCGGGAGGTTGCCGCACCGTCGCAGCACGACAAAGAGCGGCAGCTCGCCGTTGGCGTTGGCCTGGTTGGGGTCGCCGCCGTGCCGCAGCAGCGAGCGGAGGACCGCGCAGTGGCCGTTCATCGCAGCGAGCAGCACGGGCGTCGCGAAGCCGGCGTTGGCGTTGATCCGTGCCCGCGACTTCTGGTCCTGCTTCCTGTGTTGCGTCATACGGGCGCGTCAGCACACACGCACACGCACCACCGCACACGCGCTCACAACGCACCTTTCCAGGAAGTATTCGACGATGGCGTGGTGGCCATGCATGCAGGCCAGGTAGAAGGGCGTCAACCGCACGACCTCGGGACCGATCTTGGTGTTGATCTGTGCCGTGTGTGTGTGTGTGAGGGCTGCGACCACAGGTCGGTGTGGTGCAGCAAGTGATTTTTTTACCTTGGCGCCGTAGGCGATGAGTTCCTTGACGATGGGCAGCGAGCCCACCTGACATGCGGCGTGCAGCGGCGTCGTGGCCGTGACGCGGTTCACCAGGTCCGCCGGCTCGGGGTGGCCCGACAACAGCTCCTGTGTTGTTGGGGGGGGGAAATGAATGTAAGCCGGCAAGTCAACACTCGGGCACTGGGTCCAGCCTCGGTCGACTCCTGCAGGAAAGCGCCGGAGGGGAGAGGAAGGTTGGGGGGGCATATACGCGAACGAGGACGACGTGGCCGCGATAGATGAAGTGGAGGAGCATGTTGAGCGCCGGGTCGTCGGTCCTGCTCTCGGCACGCTGTCGGCTCTTGAGCGAGGCCCACTCCCGCTTGTATGTGGCGCGCCAGCTCAGCGGATACTCCCGCGCTGCGGGCACACAGCAATACATCAGAATTGCTACGACACGACACGACACGACACGACACGACACGACACGACACGACACGACACGACACGACACACGCGCAAGGGCGGAGAATGGGGGCGTACGATTGCAGGTGATGAAGGGACCGCCTCCAAAGTGCTGCTTGTACCAGAGCGCCCAGACGGCGTCGCCGGCGGCCTGCCCGAGCAGGTTGGCCCACGCGGGGCTCACCAGGTGAAGGAAGCCCACGTCCTTGGGCGAGGCGCATGACAGGGCGAGGATGAGGGCCACGGCCTCGATGGGCAGGGCGACCTGCGCGCCGAAGATGTCGACTCGGTCGACGACCTTGTCCTCGGACTTGAGTCGGATGACGTCACGCACCAGCTCGAGCCGGGCCTCGCTCCGTCGTCCCACCGTCGTCGCGCCCATCGCTTTTCATTTTCGTCGCTTTCGCTCTCGCTCTCCGCGCCTTTGTCGTCTTCTTCTTCGTTCTCTGGGCTTCGCGCTTCGTTGTTTTCCTCGTCTTCGGGCGTGGGCACGATCAGCTTGGCGCCCTGGTTCATCAGGTGGTAGAAGTCCATCGTCCCACTGCGCCCGCGGTTGGCGAGCGCGCCTGGCGGCAGCACGCGCTCGTCGTGGCCCTGGCCCTCCGCCTGCCCGCCGTCGTGCATCTGCTTGACCCACACGGCGTGCTCGTGGCTGCCGCTGCGGGGCACGGCCGCCCCGGTGATCTCGATCGTGGGCATGATCGCGCTGTCGGACAGGGTCAGCGCCTGCTGCTGCTGCTCCATGCCCCGCCGCAGGTTGGAGTAGAGCTCCAGCTCGGCAATGTCCTCGGTCACCAGCGCCAGCCCGTCCTTCGATCCCTGCACGCAACGCTCAGTCGGACCACGACACGACACATACGACTCGACCCGACACGACACACGCGGCGTTACGTACGTCGTCGTCTTCGTCATCGTCGTCGTCGTCATCGCTGTCCGAGCCGGCGTCGAGGTCGTCGCTGTTGGAGAGGCGATCGCCCTTCTCCCACTCCTCGACCTCGTCGCGCTCGCCGTTCCGCTTGTCGGTGGCCTTGAGTTCGGCCCGCTTGGCGAGCTTGTCGACGAGCTTGGCCCGCAGCTTGGCCCGCACGCGGTCGCGCGCTCGCCGCAGCTCGAGCGTCTCCTCCTCCTCGCGGGCCACCTTCTTGTAGCGCCGCTCCAGGTCCTCCGGGTTGCGGTAGCGGGGCGACAGGTTGGCCTTCTGCACCCAGCCCTTGTTCTCGTTGCTGCGCTGCTCCTCCACCATCTTCTCGAACCCGTTGCCCATCTGGATGTCCCACGCACGTCAATGATTACACCGCACACGCACACGCACACGCACCTGAGAGAAGAAAGCGACGGAGTGGCGCCATTGGGTGTTGGAGCCGGAGGAGTCGAGGCCCTGCGCGTGCCCGGCGGGGTCGCCATGCGATTTATCGGCTGCGGCCTTTTCCTCGGCGGCGTGTGCGGACGACCCTCGGTCGCCGGTCAAGCTCTGCGTCAGCTTTAGCACGCGCTTGATGGTCGAACCTCGCGGCGACTTCTCCTGCTGCTTCGAACGCGCTGTTGTAGTTTGTATCCGTTAATAAATGGATGTGTGACATATAAAAATACTAAAATGATAACAAGCAGCTACGAATAAATAGTAATAATTTAAAACAATAAATAATAATGATATATTAATGCGGTGAAATTAATTGAAATAATTGATGAATAAAAGAGCGAAGAAAGAATGAAGCGCGGGGGGGGGAGAAGAGTACGCGACAGGTCCCCCTTGCCACTCTTGCCCGCACCTCGCGGGGACTTGGAAGGTGTCGAGAGGAATTGGGCCGAAGACGACGACGACGAGGTCTGTGTGGTGGGCTTCTGCGACTTGGGGGTCGCAGTCTGGAGCAGCGACAGCGTCTGATGGTTGCCGCCCTTGCTCAGCTCCTGGTAGAGCATGAGCGTGCCCCGCTTCTCCCGCCGCTGCAGCATCCGCTCGCGCTCGCGCTCGCGTTCGAGGGCCGCGCCCATGCCAGCGATCATGGTCCCGCTGCGGGTGGTGACCAGCGGGCTGCTCGAGGCGAAGCCCACGGTCCCGGCCTTGCGCGACCGGCCCGCGATGACGCTGCCGCCCCCGGCCTCGGCCAGCAGCGACTCTTTGCTGCCTCGCCCTTCTGAAGGCGCCACCCCGCCGCCTCCGTCCATCCTCTTTTCTTTCACCTCCATCATCTTCTCTTTTCTGTTCTTTCCTTCTACCGTTGCTTTTCAGTCGTTGGTGTAATAACTGCGTTTCTTCTTTTTCTTCTTTTCTTCTCTTTGGCCCGCTTCAATCCAGAAATGATGATCTTTCTTCTTGTCGAGCTTGGGTTCTTCCTGCTCCTGCTCCTGCTCCTTCTTCTTTCCTCTCTCTTCGCGAGTTGTGTCCTGCTTGGTATCGCGGAGGGTTCTTTAGTTCCGGTCTCTTTGTTTGAGACAACCCAGCGGCTGCTTTACATTCCCGGTGCGGAAGCCCAATTTTACCCGCGCATGGCTTGGATTGTGAAGAATGCACCACGCTGAATTTCCGCCCTGTGGAGGTGTGTAGTGTCAAGAAGACAACAGAATCGGAGAAGGCACCGCGTGGCGGACAGTTTGCAGATGAAAGGGAGATCCCTGTGCACTCTCGCCGGTTGCAAACGTGGCCACTCACTCTTTGCGTGGCGAGGTGGCCAGGTTTGCCTCGGCATTCTTGTAGCTAGGGAGGAGCGGTGGTGGTTGTTGGAAGGCCGTGTGGTGAAGCCGGAGAGAAGAAGAGCACCACCCCGCAGATGTGTCCTGATGAGGAGCAGATGGTTACGGACAGGCATACCTTAATTGTCGACAGTGTCCAAACAATAGTACAAGTATTAATTTAGCAAAAGGAAAACAATACAATAATTAATTTAGCAGAAGGAAAACAATACAACAATACAAGTTGCGGCTGCCTCAATCCAAACATGTCTACGAGGGGGCAAACCCCAACACTCAGCCATGCTCGCCTCCTGCGTGGAGGAAGCCCCACCCCCACCCAAACTTCATCTTCCTCCTCCACACATTCATCATCCTCGTCCTCATCTTCACCCATGCTGACCGTGGTCCATCATATCAACCCGCTGGCCCCAGCCTCGGTTGGCGGGTCCGCCGTGTCGGCTGCTGGTGGGCCCTCCTCCACCACCACCTGTTCTTGGACGTCGGCCAAGATCGACCGCGAGCGCAAGGAGCGACGCGACGCCGGTGGCGCAGCGAGCTCCCTCTCCATCTCGCCCACCGTCTCCTCCTCGCCATCGTCCACCTCCTCCTCCCTCTCCTCCTCGCCCCTCTCCCCTTCTCCCCCGCGCTTCCCGTCTTCGTCGTCGCCGCTGGCCAGCACATCGTCGGTGTCGCCGCCCAGCAAGCCGCCGGTGACGGTCGCGTCGGAGTCGCCGACGGGGCCGAGCCTGACGTCGGGCGACTCGACCACGACGTCGTCGGACTCGCTGTCGCCGCTGTCGTCGCCGCGGCTGCTGCCGTCGCAGCAGGCGGCCTCGGGCTCGTTCTCGGCCATCGTGGGCCGCCCCGACAAGCGCGAGATGGCCGTCCGCTACACCACCGCCCGTACAGTCCCTCTCCTCTCGTGCCATGTCCACCAGTGTGCGAAGGTCATGAACGCGACCGTGTCGTGCGTGTGTCGTGTCGTGCGTGTCGTGCGGTTGATGAGTGCAGGCTACAGCGCGGGCATAGAGACTGCGGGCACGGCGCCGTCAGCGCGTTGGGGACACACGGCCGTGCGCTTCGACGACTGCCTCCTCATCTATGGCGGTCGCTCGGCCGACGCCGAAGTGCTGGCCGACTGCCACATCTTCAACTTTGGTTTGGGCCCTCTCCCTCCCAGCTGTGTGCGCGCGTCGGAGTTAAAAACGCACTGACCCCGCACGCGAACGCCAGGCACGCGGTCGTGGTCGCGGGTGGAGAGTCCCAACTCCGAGACGCCTCCAGCCCGATGGGGCCATGCCGCTGTCATCTACAAGGTCGGCCTCCTTCCTCGTCGCGGAATTCAAACCACGTACAAAGCTCAACCGTGCATTCATGTGTCACTGTAGGAAGCGATGTACGTTATGGGTGGCGAGAACGCTTCAGGGCACTGCACGAACGATACGTGGAGGCTCAACTTGGGTACGAGGGTTTCCTCAATTGTGTGTCTGTGTGACACGCATGCGCTATGAGCGTCGTTTGATTGTGTTGTGCACATCACACAGAGACATGCCAATGGGCCAAGGTCGCCGCTATCTTCTCGCCCACGCCGCGAAAGTTGCACAAAGCGGTGGTGTACGACGACAGTATCTACATCGTCGGTGGCATTGACTCCAGCGGCAAATCTCTCAACGACGTCTGGTTCTACGAATCCGGTACTTCTCACTCTTGTCGCCTTCGTTCTTTCCTGTCTACTTCCTCACCCTTGATGGTTTGGTTGCGTTCGCACAGCGGCCTCGATCTGGCTGGAGGTGAGAACGCAGGGCGACTTGCCCAGGCGTGGCAACCACACGGTGGTGGTCTACAAGAACTCCCTGTTCGTCTACGGCGGCAGAGACGGCGACAAGGACTACGACGACCTGTGGGAGCTCAAACTCTGTACAGAGCCCCCCCCCGCACCGTCCCCCGATTTGCGTGTGCGTGTGCGTAACACTGACCGGCCGGGACGGGACCCAGACTTGGGTGGCGCCGACTGGCAAAAGGTGGTGCTGAGCGAGCCCGCATCGCCCACTGCCCGAAGCGGACACACCTGGTGCGTCACAGACCAAGCCCAAGTCTTAGCACGGTCGGATGAGAGTGCACCCGCTCACTCACGCGCTCGTCGCACATCCATCAATCCAGTGTGGTCCTCCGCGATGCGATGTACATGCTCGGCGGCGGTCATGATGACGACGTCAACGCTGTCTACGAGTTCAGCTTCGGTACTCTACCTACAGTCTCTCTAGCTTCGTTTCACGTCCGTCGGAGCTATAATTCGTTAAAACTGACATTCCTCTCTGCCCATGGCCCCAAGACTACCGGAAGTGGTGTAAGATCATCACCACCGGCGATCCCGTCAGCAAACTCGCCCGCCACACCATGTCCGTCCGAGGTACTTGCGCCACGTGCTGACACCGCCCGCCACCTTACACCTCGTCAGAATTCTCTCTCCCCTTCACTCTTCGTTTTCGCTTTCGTTCTTGGTTTTCTTAGAAAGGTGGTTGCTCATTCATGGACGTGGCTCAACAGGCGAAGCTTTCTTCGTTTTCGGCGGACACGACCACGAGGGCGCCGGCTCGGGCCGCCTGGACTACCTCTGCCTGGGCAAAGGCATGACACCATCCCCTGCTCCCCCCCACTCCGGTTGTCATACCACACATTCTCACACGAATCTATTCCTCTGCACACAGATGAATTTCTGTCCGAGGAGACAACTCTCGACGATGGTACGCACACGCGCCACCGCACACGCACGCGCACACGTGTGTTGCTCACAAGGTGGTCGATATCGGATGCGCAGAGTACGAGAAGTATCCGCGCGCGGAATGGGAGGGGATCGTGCTGCGGCGCCACCCGGAGATCCTCGAGCTGCGCGAGCGCGTGCGCCCGCTGACCGGTCTTCCCTCCTTCTCCCGCATGGCCCGCTCTTCTCGGTTCGTCCCCCCCCCGTGTCCATGCGTGTCGTTGCGTGTCGCGTGCCGTGCCGGGTGCGTGTTGTATGATGATGATGATGATGATCGCGACTCGCGCAGAACGGAGAACCGAAACGCGTTGTCGCATCGGGTGATGCTGCAGCTGGTGATGGAACACCTGGACAACGAGCAGCACAGCAAGACCGTGCAGGCCATCCAGAAGGAGAGCAACCTCCTCTGTACGCAGCCTTTTCTCACCCGCCCCTTCGCCCCGTGCGCTCATTATTGATGGTCACACTGATCGCGTGGGCTTTCCGGTGCGCGAGCAGACGTGAAGCCGCCGGAGGCCGCGAAGGCGAAGGAGAGCCAGCTGGTGACGCTGCTGCGCCTCTCGCAGATTCGCCTCCGCTCGCACTATCTCACCACCAAAGACATCTTTGCACCCGACTTGCGTACGCCACCGCACACACGCTCCCGCACACGCACAACCGCACACACGCGCGCGGCTGATCGTTAACTACAGCGAAGCCGTACGACGACGAGTTCGACAAGGAGGTGGAGGTGATAGACCACCTGCCGGGGCGGGCCAAGGAGGAGGAGCAGGCCGACGTCAACGTGTGGGACGAGCCGCCGGACAGCCCCGAGAAGAACATCGTCAAGGTGCTCAACAAGAACCAGAAGCTCGAGATTCAAGCCGGCACGCTCAACAAGCTCATCGAACAGCTCGTGCCCGACGCCGACAAGCCCCTCGGTATGTGTGTCATGCATGTCGTGCGTGTCGTGTTGCATTGGTTTCTGATCGAGTCGCGTGCAGACCTGGCCTATATCAAGATCTTCGTCCACACACACCAGAGCTTCACGACGCCGCAGGCCTTCCTCAAGGTGTGCTGCGCCCACCCTCGGCCCACCCTCTGCCCCACTCGCTCGCTGCTCACCGTCCGATCGTGGTACGCACACGCACGCACACAGAAACTGGTGCAGCGGTACCAGGTGCCGGTGCCGAAGGGCATGTCGCGCGAGGAGTACAAGAGCAAGGTGCAGCAGCCCATGGCCAAGCGCGTGTGCAACGTCATCAAGTACTGGGTCGAAAAGGGCTGGGGCGACTTCTCGGATTCGAGGCTGCTCTATCAGCTGAACGGCTTCATCGACGGATGTCTCGCACGCGACGGCTACCACCAGCTGGCCCACTCGCTCCGCGCCGCCATCAACAAGAACAAGCTCTCCCACCGCATGGACGAAAAGATGTTCGTCAGCGAGCCGCCCGAGCCCAAGGCACGTGCGGGCATGCGCTGTGTGCCGTGCGTGTGCGTGTCGTGTTTCGCAGCTCCTAACGGCGGGCGGTGTGCAGGTGCCGGTCAAGATCTTCTCGACGAAGCTCACGACGAAGCAGATCGACGATGAGGAGATCGCGCGGCAGCTCACCCTCATGCACTTTGAGCTCTACCAGGCCATCCAGCCCAGCGAATTCCTCAACAAGTCCTGGCTCGATCCTCACCTCCGATTCAAGGTTCACCGCACACACCGCACACACCGCACACACGACACACATGTGCACAGCCGACTCAATCGCTGCTGCGTGTATGTGTTTGGTTGTGTAGGCGCCCAATGTGATTGCGATGATGAAGGCCTACGAGGAGGTGTCGCTGTGGGTGGCCACCGAGATCCTCACCCAGGACAAGGCCCGCCGACGAGTCAAGCTCATCAAAAAGTTCATCGACATCGCCAAGGTGCGCCCCCCCCCCTTAAAGATACGACCCGTTCGTGCGACCGGAGCAAGAAAGAGCCAAAGCTAACGGTGGCCGGTTGGCACGACACGACACGACACGATAGCATTTGAGGCAGCTCAACAACTTCCACAGCTTGTTCGCGGTGCTGGCGGGCCTCAACCTGCCGCCGGTCCAGTCCCTCAACCGCGCCTTTTCCGAAATCCCCCTCCAGACCCAAAGCGTACGCCACGACAACCTTTGTTCTTCTTCGCTTTCATTTTTCGTTTTTTTTGTTTTTTATTATTATTATTATTATTGTTATTTGGTTCGCTTCGTTCTTTGGTTCTCACCGCAACGCCGTCCTTCAGGTCTTCTCGGATCTGGTCAAGCTCATACCCCCGCGCGAAGGCGAGGCTCTGGCCTACAAGGAGAGCCTCCAGAAGTCTGTGGATGAAGGCCACCTCCCTCTCCTTCCCTATCTTGGTGCGTCCATCGTCGTGTGTCGTGCGTGTCGTGTGCGTTTCCCACGAGAAAAACAAGCGTTGCCGCAAATGTAGCTCATCGTGAGGGTCTGTGAATAACAGACGTGGTGTTGCGAGACATCCTGCTCATCGAGGACGGCATTCCATCGCGCACCAAGGTCCACAACCTCATCAACTTCGAAAAGCGCGCCCGTCTCTTCTCCGTCATCCAGAAGGTGAGCGTGCACCCCCCACCCCCGATTTGCCAAACACTCAGAGAGCTGACCGCGTGTGTGTCGTGGCGTGTGCGGCAAATGGTCGGCAGGTGCACGAGCACCAGCGACGGGTGTACAACCTGCAGCCGGTGCATCAGGTGCGGGTGATCCTCGAGGAGTCCATCAACGCCCACAAGCCCCTCAAGGAGCTCGAGGCCATCGCCTCCCGCCTCGACTCCTGATCATCAGCAGCATCAGCATCGCCGAGCTTCAAGCTTGCTTGTGTTGCTTGTAAGTTACGCTTCATTCATTTGGTCGATTGGAAGTGAAACAATCAAACATAAAAGCTGATCGCGGACACTAGAAAGACGTCTTAGGCGTTGGTCTGGAAGAACTTGAGGGTGCGGTCGAGGGAGGTGGAGGCCAGAAGGTGGGCGTGCTGGCCGAAGAGGACGCCGGTGACCGGAGCCGAGTGGTCGGCGAGGGTGACGAGCGGCTCAACGAGCTTGCCGGCGAAACCGTAGACCCTGATGTCCGAGCCACCGATGGCCAGGTACTTGCCCGAATAGTCGAACGCCACCGACGACAGATCCGAGTCGGGCAGCGAGATGGTCTGGAACGACTTGAGCTTCCTCAGATCCCACAGGCGCACTGTGTGTGTGTGTGTGTTGTGTGTGTGTGTTAGTCCGTGTGCGTGCGGTGATGGGGAGAAGTGTTGGTGGTGGTGGTGAGGATTTTTGCTTTACCGGTGTGGTCATCGCTGGCGCTGGCCATGTAGAAACCGTTCTCGGAGAAGGCGAGCGAGCGGACGGGTCCGGTGTGGCCGTCGAAGGTGGCCACGTTGCCCAGCGACTTCATGTCCCACACGCGCACCTTGGCGGTGCTGGTACCCGTGCTGTAGATGAGACCTGTCGATCGATACAGCGGTGAGTGCACGGCCCGGCCGCGAGCACTGCAAGAACGGGGGGAGTGGTGGTGGTTGCGTTGGAGGGGTACCATCGGGGTGGAAGCTGGCGGCGTGGACCGACTCCTGGATGGGCGCGGCGACGGAAACGAGGGTGCGCTGGCTAGAGAGGTCGGAGAAGGCCCAGGAGCCGTTGAGAGACGCCGAGGCTACAAAGTCACCGGTGGGGTGGAGCGAGAGCGCCACCACCTCGGCACCGCCGTGAGGCTGCATCTGGCCTGCAGCCGCATATCGCGGAACGTCATTCTCCTCGCCCTGTGTAGTGTAGTGTAGTGAACGTAATGCGGGTGTGAGGAGGGGTGCGTCGTTAGTATGGTCATGAGGTGCGCGGCCGCGAGAAGGGGAGAGTCGCATACCTGAGCGGACCACAGGCGCACAGTGCCGTCGTGCGAGGCGGACAGGAGCACATCACGCTCCTGTTGTGGGAGATGCAGTGGCGCATCAGCAAACGATATTGAAGAGTCACAGCACAGCAGTGCACTACGAGGGATGGGAAGGGACTGTACGGGGTGGAAGGCGACGCGGTTAACGCGCTTGGTGTGTCCGGTGAGAGCCGGAGCAGCAACGCCAGTCTCGCGGTTGAGGACCACGACGTTGCGATCGATGCCACCCGTAGCCACCTGCAGAGCTCGCGCGCGTAAGTACTCCCGAACAAGAGGCGGCGTGGAAGAGTGGGATGGCGGCCAGTGTTACCAGCTTCTGGCTGGGGTGGAGGTCGAGGCACAGGATGCCGGGCTTGCTCGAAGAGTGGGTCGGGTGGCTGGACGTCGCGTGGAGAGACTTGATCTGCTCCTCCGTGGCAGTCTCCTTGGGCACCGTGCGCTTCTTCCTCTCGGCGGTAAGCCTGTACCACCCGAGGCTCAGCGATTTGTCGTATGGGGGGGGGTGCATGGCAGAGTGGACGCTAGAGTGGAGGAGGGGGGCGGCACGCACTGCTTGGAGACGGACAGGAGCCTCTGCTTGACCTGCTCGGAGATACCGGCACCTCCCTCCACTTCCATACCGTCGGCGTTGGCTCCTGCACACCCAAGATCAGCAATGGATGGCCACACGACCCACTCGCGCGAGGGAGTGTGAGCGGAAACGAACCAGACGGGCCAACGGCGCTGGGCTGGGCCTGAGCCGTGGACAGCGCGCTATAGACGGGGTGGCGAAGAGACGGGGGTAAGATCACCGCGCCGCAGGAAAGAGGGGAAAGAGAGGGAACGTACGTTCTGGCATCATCACGCTCGCGGGTGAGGCGCGCGATCACGCGGCAGGCAGCGTCCTGCTGGTACAGCGCATGGGCGAGTTGCTGCCTGGCCTGCAAGATCCAAGCGCAGAGGGCGCCCACTGGTTAATTTTGAATCTGATCATGTCGATTGCCGCTCGGGAGGGCGTACAAGGTTAAGTTGCTGCTTGAGGCTGTAGCATTCGAGCATGGCCGCATCCCATTCATTTTGGAAGAGCTGCAACATGCTCGGGACGCTCGTGCCAGTCGCCGGACGCGGACGCACGCTTCGGTTCACTAAAATCGATGATCAAAAATCAGACCCTGAAGAATTGGTGGATTGCGTGTTACGGGGGAGGTTAACAGTGGGGGCGGTACCCTTGAGGGGAAGAAGATCGTCGGCATCGAGAGTCTGGCCAGTGACGGGGCAGCGACGATCATTGGCAGCCAGATACTTCTCGATGAGGCGCTTCTCGAAAACATGCCCGGTCGAGCGCGAAACCACCGCCTCCTCAGCCTCCTGTCCCGACACTGCGGCAAATTGAAAAGCTGTCAGCAACGGGGCCAACGATGGCCGAGAAGACGACCCGCGGGTGGGGCCGTACATGAGCAGATGAGCGACATCTTCAGTCTTCTTGGGGCGATCGCGGAACGTTCTGCGCTTTGGCGTGTTTTTCTTTTTATTCCTTGTTTTTTTAAAAGAGAAAAACAGTGTTTGTCCACAAAAAAGGAGGAGTTTTGTTGTTTGGGCCGTAAGAGGAAGACACCGCAAGTGCTGTACAGCGGGCGTTGGCTTGGCGGCCAACGGCATAGAGGTCTGTCGGCGGAGAAGAAGACGACGAAGAAGAGGATGAAGATGAAAGGGTGAGGCAGAAGGAGGAGGAAGAGGAGGGAAGAGAAGCTGAGGGAGCTGGGGGAGGAACGGCAGTTGGTGCGGACGGCATGGGCTTGGGCGTGGGCTTGGGTGGTGGTGTGATGGTTGGTGATAAATGGGGGACGGTGATGAATCGCGAGGGAGGGGGAGAGACTTAGTTGTCGCTGGTCGAGGTGTTGGGCGCGGATTCGTCACCATCGTCGGCTTCGGCTTCGTGCTCTGCTCCGTCGTCTTCGTCCTCGTGCACTCCGCCGCGCGCCCACTCTGGGACGAGCTTGCTGTACAGGTGGCTGTAGCCCGTCATCTCTGTCGCAACAAACACAACCGAACACTGTCAGGGCCGCCACACACAACACGAAGAAGGGCTTCTGCGCTAAAAGGTCGTTACCGGCTGAGGTGAAGTTGAAGAGGCGGGAGATGGGAAGCTTCCGGCCCGAAGGAAGGACGGTGTTGGGGTCGCGGAGTTCGTCGAAAAAGGGGTGGGCGCAGGCCTCAAGCGGAGAGACGCGCGACGTTGGGTCGTACTGAAGGATTCGCGACACCAAGTCAATAGCTTCCGGCGGGGTCCGCGACCTGAACACCTGTAGTGTGGGAGAGGGAATGGTGAGGACTCGTCCGGGGGAGCGGATTAGAGGAGGCGTAGGTACTCTGTTCCAGGGATGGGCCTTGATTTGGGGGAACTTGAACTCGGTGTAGTGCTCGTTCATGGCCTGAATTTGCTCGCGTGTGGGTGTGCCCAAGACCTTGATGATCTCCACCAGCTGATCCACTCCGCTTTCGCCCGGAAAGAGAGGCTGGCCAAGCAGTAGCTCTGCCAGCACGCAGCCCATGGACCAAATGTCTGCGGCACGCCTCTTACGTGTGAGCGCCAAGCGATGCAATGTAAATGGATGCAACCGGAAGAAGAGCGCACCGATGGCCGTGTTGTAGGTGGTAGAACCGAAAATAAGCTCGGGAGCACGATAGTAGCGACTGCAAATGTAGGAAACGTTGGGCTCGCTCTTGACGAGGACTTTGGCGCTGCCAAAGTCACACAGCTTGAGGATGCCGGACTGAGGGTCCAGCAGCAGGTTTTGAGGCTGTAGTTGTTGTAACGAGTGACAAGTGGATTAGCAAGACCAACATGGGCTTCGGGTTCTGCTAGAATGATCTGGTGGGCCATACCTTGATATCGCGGTGGCAGATTCCTTGAGAGTGGATGTAGGCGAGAGAGCGGCAGAGCTGATAGATATAGAGCTGCAGAGTGGCAATTGATTGAGTCAATGCAAAGAGTGGCGTAAGCGAAAAACAGCACGCGCACTTGAATCGTGGAGGGCAGTGGGTTACCTTGACATAAATAGGCGGAAGAGTTTGCTTCATCTTGGTGTAGTGCCGAGAGACCCTGTACACCGTTTCCGGGACATAGTCGAGCACCAGGTTGAGATAGAGTTCGTCAGGCTTATCGCCGCTCGAGTAAAAGCTGTTCTTGAGAGCCACCACGTTCGGGTGTGATAGCAGGCGCATGATCTGCAGCTCGCGGTTCTGCGTGGGTGTAACGTCAGGCACATCGATCACGGAGAGCCGTTCACGCACCAGGGGACAGAGCGCATACCTTGAACCTCTTGTCCTGTAGGACTTTCTTGATGGCGACTACTTCGCCCGTGCCGATGGTGGTTGCCTGGAATACGACGCCAAACGAACCGTGACCAACGATGCGATCAACCTGGTACGTGACGCCGTTTCCCTTCATGGTATTGCCTGGCAGAACTTTGCCCCGGTATGACTTGTCCTCCGCTGCACGCAAATGAAGGTGGACAATTCGGCAAATTGCGGGATTAGCAAAATGGCCGAGAGAGATAGGGAGAGGAACCACAGATAGGAGTTGGGGCGGAAGAAAATACTAGCGATTTGGCTGGGAATTGTAAATTTGGGCAAGGAGAAGATAGTCTGAGGAGGTGAGGAGTGGAACCAAGGGAAGCCTTTGCGGCAGGCTTGCCGGAGGACGAGGACGAACCGGAGGCGGGGGGAGCGGCATCACCCGTTCGGCCCTTGCTGCCCTGGGCGGCCTTGAGGTCTCCTTTGTTGCTGGCCCCCGATTGGCCGCCAACGCCTCCGGCCTTGGTCTTGTTGCCCGATGAGGCCGATGATCCTGCCGGCTGCTGCCTCATCTTCAATTAATTTGTGTAGGCCGAGCGTATTCTGTAACCACCATTATTAGTAGGTGAGCCGCAATTCATCAAAAATAATGTCGGGATGGATAGATAAGAGGCTACCACAGATCAACAATGGACAATAGAATGGAAATGGGAGCGAGGAGAAAGGCAAGAATTCCCAAGACCGAACACAGATCGTACAAAATAGAAAGGAGCCAATATCCACAAACGTAAGAGAAGAGGAGAAGAAGCACAAGAATCAAGAGAGGGGATCAGGACCCACCTCGAATAAAGCCAAGCGATTCCCCAAACGCGGCACTTGGTCTCTTTCTATCTCTTCTTCCTCCTTGGCCTTTATCGTCTCCCTTCTCCTGGTGTGCAGAGCCGCTCGAAATCAATCGTCAGGCAGGACAGGGGCGGGGTCACGCGGGAGCTCTGTTCTGGGCGAGGAATTTGCGCTGTCTTGCCGTGGGCGGAAAAAGGCTTGAATTCTGCCATACCAGGCCGTTTGAAACTCCGTCCCAATAGTTGACAGCTGCTGGAATTTCATGTGTTGCAATGAAATGCAAATGTTACGGGAAATGTTTGCGTTCGCGCCAAAACCCAAGCGAAAGGCGCGAATTCAGACTTGATTCAGAAATTAAAATACAACAGCAAGCATCATCGCTGTCTGCAGGAGACGTCGTAGCCAGAAGGTACAGGAGAGGAAATGAAGAGGTCAAGTAACGCCAAGAATCCGCGTTCGCAAGAGAACAAGCGGCGCAAGGCGGAGAAGGAGGCGATGGATGAGATAGAAGAAGAGGGAGAGGGGGAGTGGGCGGATCCAGAGGACATTCCTATGAGCTGGCCTCGCTCTACGCCTGCGTGCGCCCTCGATCCCACAATGCCACTCGGTACAAATCACATTTAATCTCAATTTTCGCCCATTGAATGCTAAGTTGGGGTGGGCCGCAGTTTTCCAGCAGCTCGATCTGGACTACACACTTGGCGAACCACACGCCATGGCGGATTGGAAGGAGGGACCCGTGCCCATCATCCACATGTATGGCCTCACGAGGGAGGGGCACAGCGTGTTGGTGCACTTGCACGGAGTACTGCCCTACTTCTACGTTCCCGCTCCGCACGCCCAGTTCTCTGAGGACGACTGCGAGAGCTTCCGCCTCGCCCTCAACGTACCACTCCTCGCCGGCACTCTCGGTCTTGGTGTTCTCTTACTGAATGCCAACGCTTTCTGTCAACAGAGACGGTGTGCGAGCCACGCTCGTGGAGCCAAGGAACGCAAGGACTACGTCATCGCCGTCGCCGTGGAGCAGAAGGAGTCCATCATGGGCTATCACGCCGACAAACGGAAGCCCTTCTTGCGTATCACGATGGCCATGCCTCCTCTTGTGCCTGCTGCTAGAGGTCAGACTTCTTCCTCACTCCCCACCTCCGTTCTTGCGCGGTGTTAACCTTTCCTTTCCCTCCCGTCCGTAGGCATTCTGGAGGCTGGTCTCGTGTTCGATGGCTATCCCAATGGCAGAACCTTCCAGACGTACGAATCCAACATCGCGTTCGTGCTGCGCTTCATGATCGACAAGAAGATGACGGGCGCCGCCTGGCTTGAACTCGCTGCCAATAAGTATGAAGTCGTACCCGACGACCAGAAGGTCTCACACTGCCAATTCGAACTGCACGCCAAGTACGCGCCCTTTCCCCATGTCGTTGTTGCAGTGACGCGAGGCCTTACTCCTTTGTTTGTGCGCACACTCAGGGAGACGGACATCACCGGCCACGCCCCTGAAGGCGTCTGGTCGGACATCGCGCCCTTCCGCGTTCTCTCCTTCGGTCCGTGTTCGCCCTTTCATCATTGCTTAGCTCGTTACTCATTCTGGCTGTTCATTGTATTCTAGATATTGAGTGCGCGGGCAGACGAGGCGTGTTCCCCGAGCCGGAGATGGATCCGGTCATTCAGATCGCCAACGTCGTGTCTGTGCAAGGAGAAAACGGCCCGATCGTAAAGAACGTTTTCACCGTCAAAAAGTGCAGCCCCATCGCCGGCGCCGAAGTGCGTTGCTACAGGACAGAGGTACGTTTTCGTCAATGCATATAGTTTTGTGTGTGCGACTGACAGTTCGTGCTGTTTGCGCTCATGCACAATCGCAGGCGGAAATGCTTCTGGCGTGGCGCAAGTTCGTGGAGATTGTGGACCCGGACATCCTCACCGGCTACAACATCATCAACTTCGATATCTGGTATCTGCTCACGCGCGCCCAGAAGCTGGGCCTCGTTGACTTCCCCTTCTGGGGACGCATCAAAGCTCAGGTACTCCCTGAATTGCTCCCCCTGCCGCGCTTTTGTTTGCCCCCCCCCTCTCACTCACCCGCCTCTCCCCTTTAGCGTTCCACGATGAAGGACACGACGTTTTCGTCGAAGGCCTTTGGCAAGCGTGACTCGAAAGAAATCAAGATCGGCGGTCGCGTGCAACTCGACGTCTTGCTTGTTATCACACGCGACTACAAGCTTCGCTCCTATACACTCAACTACGTCTCTCAACACTTCTTGGAGGAGCAGAAAGAAGACGTGCATGTGCGTAATGGCGCCATTGCAGCCCTCCCACACCCACTACGTTCAGGCACATGCCACGACCATCGCTCACTTCGCATTCTCTCATCTCAACAGCACTCGATCATTACAGACTTGTACAATGGCACAAACGACCAGCGGAGGCGCTTGGCCGTTTACTGTATCAAGGACGCGTTACTGCCACAGCGTCTGCTCGACAAGCTCATGTGCATCATCAACTACATCGGTACCTCCTCGTACACTGCTGTCACTCCTCGCATTCCTCACACTGACACACACCATCGCGTCTGTGGCGTTGCAGAGATGGCACGAGTCACGGGTGTCCCGATAGCCTTCCTCCTTACGCGTGGTCAGCAAATCAAGGTCCTCTCGCAGCTCTACCGTATCGCCAACACCGAGGACCTCCTCATCCCCGCTGGTACCGTTGCACACACACCAGCTTCGCTCATCAAGTCAGAGACTCACACTTCCCCCCCCTTAACGATGCCACACAGTCAAGGTAGCCAAGCCCACGGGAGAAGACGGCAAGGGCTACAAGGGCGCCATCGTGATCGCCCCCAAGACGGCCTACTACGACGTGCCCATCGCCACCCTCGATTTCGCCTCGTTGTACCCGTCCATCATGATTGCCCACAACCTCTGCTACTCCACGCTTCTCGCTCCCGGCGAAGTCAACTCCCACCCGCGTACGTCCGCCTCGCAACCACTCGGGTCACACTACATACGAAAGGCCTAACGTTGTGCCGCACTTTGCAGCGGAGAGCTATGAGCGGAGTCCCGGAGGCGAGTGCTTTGTGCGGGAAGAGACCAAGCCCGGCCTGCTGCCGCGCATTCTCAACGGCCTTCTGGAGGCCCGCGCCCGGGCCAAGGCCGAGATGAAGAAAGAGACGAATCCCTTCAAGCAGGTCCGTCCATCTACATTTCAATGCTTGCGTGTACGGTTCTGTCTCAGAGTTTTTGCTCAACACCTGGCTTTCTTTACAACACCAGGCTGTGCTCAACGGAAGGCAGTTGGCTCTGAAGGTGTCGGCCAACTCGGTGTACGGTTTCACCGGCGCCACGATCGGCAAGCTGCCGTGTCTCGCCATTTCGTCGGCCGTCACGGCCTACGGCCGTGAAATGATCGAAAAGACCCAGGCCACCGTGCTGGAGCGCTACCGCGTGGAAAACGGCTACTCCCACACCGCTGACGTTATCTACGGTGACACGGACTCGGTCATGGTCAACTTTGGCGTTAAGACCGTCGAGGAGGTGCATACGCACACGACACACGACACACCGCACGACACAACATGCGTACTTATTCGATGGTGGCTGGTGTGTGTACAGGCGATGAAATTGGGCAGGGAAGCGGCCGAGTATATCACGAAGCACTGCTTCGAGCAGCCGATCAAGCTCGAGTTCGAGAAGGTGTACTACCCGTATCTGCTCATCAGCAAGAAGCGCTACGCCGGGCTGTGGTGGGGCCGGCCCGACAAGTACGACCACATGGACGCCAAGGGTATCGAGACGGTGCGCCGCGACAACTGCGCGCTGGTGCGCAACGTCGTGCAGGAGTGTCTGGACCGCATCCTCATCGAGCGCAACATCGACTCGGCCGTGGACTACGTGAAGCAGATCATCTCCGACCTGCTGTGCAATCGGCTCGATCTGTCGCTGCTGGTGATCACGAAGCAGATCTCGCGCAACAGCGAGGACTACAAGGCCAAGCAGGCCCACGTCGAGCTCGCCGAGCGGATGGCCAAGCGCGACGCCGGATCGGCGCCCGTGGTGGGCGACCGCGTGCCCTACGTCATCGTCAAGGGCGCCAAGGGCTCCCGCGCCTACGAGCGCGCCGAGGACCCGCTCCACGTGCTCGAGCACAACATCCCGCTCGACGCCCAGTACTACCTCCACCAGCAGCTCGAGAAGCCCCTGCTCCGTATCTTCAAGCCCATTCTCAAGAACCCCGAGAGCCTGCTCACCGGCGAGCACACCCGCACCATCTCCGTGCAGACCCCGACCGTGGGCGGCATCGTCTCCTTCGCCAAGCGCACCCTGTCGTGCATGGGATGCAAGGCCCCGCTCGTGGGAGGCGAGACCTCGGTCTGCCGCTACTGCCGCCCGATGGAGGCCGTCTACTACCAGGAGCGCCTGGCGCGCGTGCATCGCCTCGAGCAGGAGTTTGCGTCGGCGTGGACCCAGTGCCAGCGGTGCCAGGGTTCGTTCCACGAGACGGTGCTCTGCACCTCGTGCGACTGCCCCATCTTCTACATGCGCAAGAAGATCCAGAAGGACCTCGCCGACTCCCACTCCCTCCTCCTCCGCTTCGACCCGCCCGCCGCCTCCGGCTCTGGCTCCTCTCTCTCCTGGTGAACAACCTTTCACCCACTCTCACTCTTCTTGGCCCTCTTTGGTTGTGTTCAACATAACAGCTTCAACCAGAACAACAACTAAAAGAAGTTTTCAACTGTTCATTGCAACATCACTCGTGTTGATTGTTGGTTGATTGTTGCTGCTGTGTTGTTCAGGAGGAAGGGAGGGGCAGGCCGGCGAAGACGAAGGCGGCGAAGCGGAGCAGCTCGTCTCTGTGCTTGGGTTGCTGCTCGCCTTCATCGCCGGTGATGGCCCGCACCCACTTGGCGCCTCGTTCGCGCCACACTCCTCGCGACGCCTCCGCCTGTTGCTGCTGCTGCAGGTGGGAGGCGATGAGCGGAAGGAGGGCTCGCGCTATGGCGCTCTTGGCCTGGTCCGGCATGGCCCAGTGTCGGTAGAGCCACACCAGACCGCCGCCCACACGCCCGCGGGCCTGGCCGAGCACACCGTCGCCGTCTTCGGCCGAGTCTTTGGCCGCGACGCTTCGGGTGCGCTGGACTTCGGTCAGCAGCAGCGCCTGCAGCCACCGCACGAACGGCGCCACGAGCGCCACGCCGTCCTGGTGGGCGCGCGCCACGAGGTCCACCAGAATGTCGACGCAGCTCGAAGCGAGGTGCGCCACGGCCTGCGTCTCGTCCCGGTCGAGCTGGTCCGACGTGTTGGTGGCACCGGCGGTGGCCGCGGGCAGAAGCGGCCGAACGAGGCGCGAGGCCGTCACCAGCCGCACGCCGAGCGCGCTCCACTCGGCGCCGCCGGCCGAGCGCCACAACTCCACCACCTGGCGCAGCTCCGTCGCAGTCATCATCACTCCGACCGGTCCGGCGCCACCGTCGACCAGCGCCTCCTCCGACTCTTCATCATCGTCACCACCACCACCATCGCCCACCGCCTCGCGCGCGTTGTCGTCATCGCCGCGGCGAGCCAGTTGCGGGAGGAGCTGCAGCAGCCCGTCGACGAACTGGAACACCGCGGCGTGGAGGCCGGCGTCGTCGCGCGGCTGCAGCGGTAGCCGCTCGTCCGCCTCACTGTGCTGCTGCTGCTCGCCGGCCGCGTCGGGTGCGGAGAGGAGCGACGGGTGAAGGCGGGCGAGCGCGGCGACGAGGGCGGCCAGGTCGGGCGCGGCGGCGAGGCGCGTGGGACGCGGGAGGGCCGGGAGGACGGGCAGGAGGGTGAGCGCGAGCGAGCGGAGGAGGTAGGGCAGGCCGCGCGGGGCGTCGCGGGCCGAGGGCGACAGGAGGGCGAAGAGGAGGTGGGGCAGCACGCCCGTGCGCACAAAGTGGGCGGCCGACGCGGCGTGGGCCAGCGTGTGCGCCAACAGGTCGACGATGGCACGGCGCGCTGCCTGGTCCACCGCGCCCGAGCCCAGGAGGGAGAGGGCGAGCTCGATGACGTGTCGTCGGCGGTACGCCGAGAGGTCCTCGCCCGCGCCCGGCCCCGCGGCCACGATCCTGAACATCACAACACGACACAGCACGACACACACGACACAACACGCAACACGCAACACACGACACACGACACGGTTGGAGTGGTGCAGGTCGGGGGAATTGAGGGGGGCGGCGGAGGGATATACCGCAGGATCCAGGCGCGCTCGATGCGGTGCTGCGGTCCCGAAGCGTTCCACAGTTCGTAGAGCATGGGGATGTCGCCCAACACCAAAGCTGGGCGCTGTTGAAATAGAATAACCAAAACCGTTCGTCAGACGTTCGCCCTCTGCTTGATCAATGCGCGCGTGCGGTGTGTCGTATGTGTGTGTGTGTGTGTGTGTGTGTAGGAGCAGGAGAAGGGAGGGTACGTGGAGGAGGAAGGCGTTGACGGGCTTGTAGAGGCCGTGCTCGGGCGTGAGCACCACGAGCGCCGCGTGCGCCGTGAACGACGCAATGTAGGCCGGCAACCGCTGGAATGCCTCCACCATCGCATTCCGCACCGCCCGCAACAGCTGCGTGACTGCAGCCACAGACACACACACGAGTAAGCCACCAGAGAGTCAATGGGTGGTGGGAAGGCGGGAGGCGGGCGTACTCTGCGGGCGCTCGCGGAAGTCGGCGGACTTGAGGAGCTGAGTGTAGTGGACGAGGAAGGAGTTGGCCATGCGGCGCACGGCGAGCGACGGCGACGAGAGGGCGTGCAGGCAGTAGGGCAGGGTGCCGGCCTCCACCAGCTTGCGCGCATCGACTGCGCTCGCGGGCGCGGTCGTCGCCGCGAGGTCCACCAACGGCAGCACCCACGCCCCGTCGTACGACTCCCACACCTCCGTGCAACCTGCCACCGCACACACCACACAACACGACACACGGTGAGCAGTGGTGTGTGTGTGTGTGTGTGTGTGTGTGGTGTTACCTTGTCGGTTGCACCCGCAGGCGCGGCTGTCGGCCTGGGCGTCGACGTCGTCGGAGACGGTGGCGATGAAGTGGGAGTGGGAGTGGAGCAGGCGGGCGGGCGTGAGGGCGCGCCCCTCCTGCACGAGCGTCAGCAGCCGCTCGGCGCAGGCCTCGTCGTCCAGCTCCTCGTCCTCGTCCTCCTCGTCGGCCCCCTTCTTGCCCGCCGACGTCCTCGGACGCCACCTCAGCACCTGCCGTGTGTGCGGCGCGCATGTGCGTGTGCGGTGCGTGTGTGCGGTGAGTGTCGTGCGTTGGCCCGTGCGGCCGGGGAAAGTACGGCGCGTGGGGGTGTTGTGGGTTCGTACCAGTGAGGCGAGGTTGCAGGCGTCGTGGGCTTCGAGGAGGCGCAGACAGCGCAGCAGCAGCCGGTCGGTGGGGTGCCCCGAAGCCCCGTAGGCCTCCAGCAGCCGCCGCGCCACCTCGGCCTCGGGCGTGTCGCCCTTCTCCTCCTCCATCTCCTCTTCGTTCACCTCCAGGCCACCATGCCTGCGTCGACACATCAGCGTGTGTGTGCGGTTGTGTGTGGGTGTGTGTGTGTGTGTGTGTGTGTGTGTGTGTGTGTGTGTGTGTGTGTGGTTGGGCGTGTGCGTGTGCGGTCGTACGTGCGACTCGCAAGGGGACATGTACCGGTAGAGGGTGTAGAGGAGGAGGGCCAGCGAGTGCTTGGCATGGGTCGGGAGGGCGGACGGAGATGCGGCGTTGGGGCTGCGTAGGACATGAGCGAACGCGGGCGACGACACTACCAACCGATAGAGCGCCGGGGCCGTCTTGGCTTTGGTGGCCGTCGCCGTGGTCGTCCCTGGGGCGGACGCGGGGCAGAAGTGGCGAACGAGGGCCGGCACGAGGCCGCCCACGCGCCCGCGCAGCAGACCCGCGACGTCGTCCGCCGCACGCAGCGACATCACCCACTCGAGCCCCGCCTCATCGCGTCCCGTCACGCCCCACTCGCGCGCCTTTGCCAAGGCCGCCTCTGCAAGACACCACAGCCGCACACGCCCACACCGCACACAGTGTTCTGACGCGTTAGTCGCCGACCACGTGCGAAACCGCGAGAGAAAGTGTTCGCACCGAGTGTGGCGACGGCCTGCGCGCGGAAGGGGTGGGCGTCGTCGAGCGCGAGGACGGAGGTGAGCGCGCCGAGGGCGTGCTCGATGAATTTCTGGACCGACGCGCCTGCGGCCGTCGAGCAGCAGGTCAGGGCGTAGGCGAGCGACAGGCGCGCAGAGCTGCGCAGTTCCGCGCCGGCACCACCCAACACGCGCGCGCGGAGCTTCGCCACAGCCGACGCCGACGCCGCGGCGCTCATGTAGCAGCGCTCCAGCACGTGCGCCGCACTGCGGGCCACCGGCGAGTCCGCCGCGGCTTCACCGTCGGCGTCGCAGTCGAGGGCTTTGATGAGAAGGTCGGTTTGCTGGACGAGCGCGGCGAGCAGCCTGGGCTGGGCGTCGTGGTGCAGGAGGCAGGCGGAGACGACGGGCAGGAGGCGCTGCAGGTGGTCGGGCTGCTTGAGCCGGGCGGCGACGCTGCGGTCGAGCAGGCGGCGCTGGACGAGCTGCCGGTGGTGCGCGGACCACGCGGCGACGAAGCGCAGGATCTCGCGGGCCGCGTGATGGTCGCGTCCGTCCGCACCTTCTTCGCTCCCCTGGAGCACTCGGTCGAGCAGGCCCTCCACGAACTCATCCTTGATGGCCGCCACAAAGTCCTGCGACACGACACGACACAACACGACACGGGGTCAGGGCCAGCGATCGTGGAGCGATCGGCGTGCAGACTACGGACCTGCGTGACCTGGACCGGCGACGAAGGGGTGGAGGTCGTGGAGGTGGTGGTGGTGGTGGGCAGGAAGTGAAGTGGCGGAGAGGGCGCGGGGAGGGCGCCCTGGAGGACTCCCAAGAGGTGGTCCTCCAGCCCGAGGGCCGGCCACCGCAGGGTCAGCCCCTGCAGCCGCCCGAAGCTCGCCTGCACCCCGGGGGGAGGCGGTGAGCTGCTCCCGCTCGAGCGCGACAGGGGGGAGATGGGGAGATAGGGAGGGGGAGGAGTACGAGCGAGAGGGGCGCGCGGGAGAGGATGAGAGGAAGCAGGCGCGCGATGGCGTGGCCCGGCGCGAAGACGGGCGACGTGGAGGGCAGGGCGAGGATGCGCGACACCACCTGCGCCACCTCCCCCTCGCTGCTCGCCTCCACCACCGCCTTCACCCGCAGCGCCTCGATCCCCTGTGCGCGCGAGTGCCGCAAAGTCAGTTGGCGGGGGCGGGGGCGGGGGCGGGTGGATGGTGAGGCGAGGGCGACGCGGGTGGTGGATGGTACCAGAGCGGGGGCGGAGAAGACGGAGGAGGGCGGGTGGGGAATTTTAGCTCCGGCGGGGCGCGACAGGGGCGGGCTGGGCGGGGCGGCGTCGGCGGGCAGGCTTCCAACGGCCGCTCGCTGCACGGCGCCCACCAGGTGCCTGCTCGAGCCGTTGTTGTTGTTGTTCCCACCGCTGCCCCACGAGCTGCTGGCCGCCGCCAGGCGCGCTTTCCCTGTATTTACGCGACCGCGAGGCGAGCGGTTGGTGGGCTGACTGGTGGAGGTAACGGTGATGGTGGTGATGACGGCGGCGTACCGTAGGTCAGCTGGGCGGAGCTGTGGGTCGTGGTGTTCTCGGCGCCGAAGGCCTCCTGGGAGGAGGAGGAGGACAGGGCGTGGGCCATGAGGTCCTCGACCACCTCGAGTGCCTGAGCCTCGGTAGCGCGGTGGGCGTCCTCGAGCCACCCCGTGGCCTGCGTACACACACACACACACACACACACACACACACACACACACACACACGACCCAGCGACGGTCACCACGAGAAAGATGAGGAATGGAGACATAGAGTGAGGGGGGACCAGGTGGAACGTACCTGACGGGACGCGGCGAGAAGCAGACGGGCGTCCGTGAGTTGGGGGATGCGCCGCTGCACGTGGAAGAGCGCATCCGGGTGGCCTCTCCGCAGGCGGGCTTCGGCCAGCGCGATCGAGATGGGCGGCACCCGACCCACCGATTCCCTGCATTGTGTGCGCATGTGTGCGTTAGTCAGCGGCATGGCTGGGCAAGAAGTGGAGCTCACACGTTCTACGAGAGAGAACGGGTTTCGTACCAGGCGCATGCTTGTCGGAGGGCAAGGGCGGCCTGCTCGGCATCGGACTGCTGCTCCCCGCACAGATGCTGGGCATAGGCCAACAGCTGCGTCAGGCGCGGCAACACTCTGCCAGACGCAAAAACGCGCCCGCACACACGACCAACAACACACACCACACACAATAGAGCGATGAGCGCCCAGAGAGAGAGAGAGAGAGAGATAAGTGAGCGGAGAGTGGAAAGAAGAACGTACGCGGCGCGGTTGTGTGGGAGGGCGGCGTTCAGGGCATGCGCGATGGCTAGCGCCGTGTAGCGGGTGCCCGAGTGCAGCAGCTCTCCTACTGCGCGGGCCACGTAGATCTCCTGCGCGGCCCTCTCCCGCACCCGCTCCTCGTCCACCTCATCCATCTCCATCTCTTCCCCATCCTCCTCCGTCTCCTGGTCGCCGTCGCCGTCGTTGGCGGACGGCCGCGAGCGTGCCACGAGGGCGTCGAGCACAGCAAAGAGGAGCGGCGAGCAGGGCGCGGCAGCGGCGGGGCTGGCGGAGTGGAGCGGAGGGGGTGGGGGCGGGAGGGATGCGAGGCGGGCGGCGAAGGCGTAGGGGTGAAGCAGGAGGGCGCCGAGGGGCCTGGTCCAGCAGCTTGAGGGAGGCCGGGTCGAGCAGGTGCCGCACCCACGCGCGCAGCTCGGCGGGTCCGTTGGGGAACAAGCCCTCGCGCTGGTCCACCAGCTGCGCCTCGAGGAGCTCCCACACCTGGTCGTACACAGCTCCCTCCTGGTGTCGCGTGCGTGTGCGATGCATGCGTGCGGCGTGTGCGGTGGTGCATGTGTGAGTGTCGTGTGCTACGTGGCTTGAATTGGGGAAGGAGCGCACCTCGGGGCTGAAGTGGAGGAGGA